CCTCCCCATAAAAAAGAAGAAGCTGTATCGCAAACCGGTACAGCTTCTTCTTTTTATGCCAGTGTTGATCAGAACAACTGCAATGTTTGCCGCCGTGTTCCATGGGTAAGCGGCCACAGCACATCGCTCCCCTCTTTTTTCGGAGGTGCGGCCACCACTCTTTCCGACAACACAAAACTCTCAAACCCTTGCGCTCCGCTGAACCGGATGTCGATCTTTTTCCCGGCATACGGCAGCAGGTCGATGCAAACCATGTTCCAGTCGCGGGCCTTTTTACTGGGCATCCCGGCTTTTGCATAACCGGCAAACTTGTTCAGCGCCGCTTTGCTGGTTCTCCTTGGCGTTACCTTGCCGCCGTTGATGGTCACTTCCGGCAAGGCCGGGTAGCCGGTCACGAGCAGGTCGCACCGCCCCTTCACATCCGCAGGCACCATGAGGCTGACCTGGTCCCCGTCCCCTCCCACGGCGGGCCGCGCCCGCGCCGGTACGGCCGGCCGCCCCTCCCCTCCGCCCGCGCCACCCACCCCCGTCCCCCCCCCGACCCCCGTCGCCCCCTCGACCCCCGTCACCCCCCTCGACCCCCGTGCCCCCCCCGATCCCCGTGGCCCCCCTCGCCCCCCTCGACCCCCGTGACCCCCTCGATCCCCGTGACCCCCTTCGACCCCCTCGACCCCCGTGACCCCCTCGATCCCCGTGACCCCCTTCGACCCCCTCTATTTCAGATAATCTCTTGCGCCTTGTTATACCCCCATACCTCTCATTTCTATTTGAATTAACGTCCTTTTTTTCTCCCAAAATTCAGTTTGAAATATAATAGACCATTGTATGTGTAAGACATGATGCATGGATAGTTTCTTACTTTTTTGTATGTTTTATTTTCTCCTTGTGTGCCTATAATGGCACAATAAATTGAATATAAAAAATATTTCGTCAGTATCCTAGGTCATTATGACCCGGTCGGTTCCGGCCGGAATCGACTGGAATTATATGGAAGCCGACTCTGGCTTAATCGAGTCCAGTCACCGGAATGATCGACCTGGAATGACGAAACCTTGGAAATAGGAACAAACTACCTCAATGTTGAGTGTACGCCGACAAAGTTTATTTCTGTCTTAGTTATCACTCCCAATAAAAACTCTTCACTAGTAGTCGTATTATATATCCCAGAAACGTTTTTCTCCACTCTATCGTACTCACATAGACAACGTGTAAACTCATAATCATTTCTTTTATTCAGAAGGAAGGAAAAACAAAGTAGGAATGGTAGTTACCGTATATTGAATTTAACATGTTTTTCATATACCGATGTCATGTTTACTTCGTGTGAGAATCGAGTTCACTTCTAAGAATCAAAAGAATTCGATATTCTTGAATTTTGTCTATTTAATTCTTTCTTCTACCACCACCACGATTAAGAAGCTGACTTCCATTCTTCAACAGTACATTATCGACCAGTTTGGTTATACAGATGCACATCTAGTTAGTTTACTTACTGACGATCGATTTCTATTGATGAAAGATGATCTATGCAGCAATGTTCTTAAGCACAACGAAAAATGGATCTGTGTTAACATGCATCAATTCACTAAGGAAGATATCAGTACATTGAATACGGACGAAGCTTGGTTTAAACTTGAACATCATGATAGCATAGACGATATCGAAAAGTATTTGAGTATAGGTATGAATAGCGTTGACATATGTTACGTTTATTTATTTGGTGGAATGGCTCATGAAAAAATATACGTAAAGAAATGCACTGTAAAACTTGTTCACATCTAATTGTATTTAGATGTTGATACTTCGATGATGAAAATATCTGCGACATCACCATTCGAACGGTGTACTGAAGTGATATGGGAGTGATATTCTGATGCGAATAACACACTCATCCTTATTGGAAATTTAAAAGCTAGAGATATGACACAAACTAAAACGAGTAAAATTCGGCTTCTTCTCAACGCAGCCACAAAGACCATTGATAATTGTGAAGTTACACGACTGGGCACTGAAATCGATAATAGTAATGTCATTGAAGAACAAGAACAACAGTGTTTACATCAACTGAAAGATCAGATTCCACCACCGAAACGAACAGGCCTGATTATTGACACTACTCAGCTTCTCACAAAATCAAGACTAACGAATGCGAAAGTGATTCGGCTCTACAAATAGCGCACGAAACTGCTAGTTCAGTTGAGATAGTACAAGATTTTCATACGCCCGATGGTAACGTTTGCAACTTTGTTACTCTCACAAATACGCGGACGATTGTGAATATGATGAACGTACTTTCACTGCAATTTATATTTCGAACAATGATTCGCTGTTAATCCGTGATGGAATGAAGAGTATTTATATAGAAAAATCACATATGCACACAATGAAACAGAATGCGAAAAAAAAAATAACTGCAGAATCTACGAATTATGTAGGCGATTCACAAATTCAAGTATTCTCTTGCTATTCGACGCAGAAACGTATCTATTCTATGCGGTTCCTGTTGAGTTAACAACAACAACAACATCACAAACCATAGAAACGAAATTTCTATCACTGAATGAAATAAAATAATACTCTCAAAACTACGATATTATTGTCGAAAGCTGCCGAGTTTCATACAAGAATTATTCAATAACCAGTGCGATAGTTGTCGACTTCGAAAAGGAAGAACGTTGTCATGTGCAACAGCGGATGATACGATTCTCAGATCCAGAATGGATCGGAGATGATCCATTGGTAAAAGTAGAATTTGATCAGTAAAGTAGAGTCGAATCAATTTAGCTTTCTTATCCCATGTTATTAACCCGTGTCGACACATATAATCAATAATACGATGATACTGTTCGAAATTGTCCGATTGAACATCATGAACTGCTGCCATGGCTTCCGAAATATCCTGTAAACTAACAGATGGTTCGGACGCAGTGATTGTTGATGATGATGGAATGATTGATGATGGTAGTTTAATGTGTTGCTTATTATAGTACAAAAGCCAACTGCCTGATTCATCTAGTCGAATTTGTGAGTTTTTCACCAGAATATGAATGACGTCTTGTCGTTGAAATTGATTTTGTCGAATGAGCTGACTATGCTCCGGCGTGAAATATAAATGATGACCATCAGTCGGATTCTCTAAGACGACCAACTCATTTGATTCATCTTGTTTTGTTCCGTCATTTTCGATCACTAAATCAACATAGCATCGAATAAGATCATGCTTTTGTCTTGGCGTTAAGTTTAATATTTTCATCATTGTTGACTGTGTCCTTGCAGACGTTGTCCTGATATTTCGAGCTTCTCGTAACGAGTATGTTTCGTTGTTGAAAATGAACTTATCATGTTCGACTCGTCCACCATTAGCCAGTAAAATGTCAATAATATAATTACGATCGAAATCATGTTCTTCTGCTCGGTAGTACCAGTGCGTTGGTAGGACAAGATAACGCTCAGGTTCATGGATAAATTCCACTTCCACGCGTTTATTTTGTTTGTCTACATAAACCTGTCGAATGTGATAAGAGAGCAGATGATGTTGTCTTATACGCTCGGGCGATTTGGTTTTTTCATCAAGAAGAACATCGGGTTCGATATATCGATAAGCATAAGAACCTGTTTCAGCATCGTATCGGATATGGCCATTTTGAAAAAGATATATCGCTACAGTTCGTACGTCGTCTGTCGGTGTCATGTGCTCATATGGAACAGATAATGTTTGAGTACTTTCGCCATCGTATAGTTTGATATCAGTTTCGAATGTTTCAGAATTCGGTCGAACATCACGTATTATTGACATTAACCATTGCAATTCATTGCTATCCAATGCGATGGTGTGAGCCATGAATGACAGCTGTCCGGACGATTCTTGAACGTACTCAAACCGAAGTAATATACGAGCAATGTCTAACATGTTGATCATATCAGCTTCATTCGGGTCCAGGTCTTGATTTCCTCTTGTTTTCATGTAAGAATCGATATCGTTGTAATTGATGAATATTTGTTGAGCTTGATCGTGTTTACCACCAGGCATAATCACAATATCATTTTGATCGGTCCTTGTAATTAACCGTTCTCGGTTCAGTTGTTCTAACCAATTTGTTAGAAGATTGACATGGTTTTCGTCAAGTCCATCTCTCTCACTTGGTGCTCTTGATGAGTGACCATGATTTAATACTAGATGATGTTTTTCAGTGGATTTAGTTCGGATGAATTTCTGTTTGAGACTCTTTAGTTTTGACATTTATTCAGTTGAAGAAGAAAAAAATTGAGAAATACTGGGTACCCACAGTCAAAATTATTGCTTTTGAGTAAAACGTGAGACGACCTTGACCATCAACATCGTTCGAATTGATTTTGTGCAGTAGCAGAAAATATGATTACATATGCAATAATATTGATTTCTACTTTCTTTTTCGTTCTTTGTTTTTCTTTCTCGTTTTGTTTGACAAACGTGACAGAAACGCAATAAACGAGAAAAAAGTACATTTTTTCATCAACTGTATATTTTTATTGATAGTTTATGACTTTCGTCTGGTGTATGAAACTCCAATATTTTGAGCGCGTTCTTTTTCTCTTGTATGCCGATGGCAATTGGCAATATTTAGGCTCTACTCAAGGATATACTCAGATTTGTAGTGCTTCACACCATAAAATGTGTTCGTAGATTTCGAATGTACTTATAACATTATCTTTGCACATTACCACAAGTGACGAAAGTCGCTGTTGTTCGAAGAGACTTTGTACATAGGAAATTTCTTTTTTGCCACTGCAGACAATGCCATAAATGATAATTGTTTCTTGTTCTGTAGTGTAATCTACATCATCAGTCGGTGTTCTAGAATATCTTTTCTTCTAAAAAAATTAATTTGAAACAATCTCACGGTTATTTCGAAAGAAAATGCTTCTCTGATTTTATATGCAAAAATCAGAAGTAGCGGTTATCGCGGATACAACGTTGCAGGAGTATGCAGATTATTAACTTATGGCGGCTCATGATCACCAATCGTATTCCGATATTCTGAGTTCTATTTTTCTTTTTTATTTCATGATAAAAAAGTAGACACCACAATGAATGCTATTCCTTACTTAGAAGTTTCTTTTCTTCGTTTTGAACGTGTTCCAGTTGTTTCGGTAGTATAAGACAATAAATGCAAAAGCTTCTCAGGAAAAATTTCAATGATTCAATCTTTGAAGCCCATTTTAACACTCGAACGTCATTTTTTGCTTTCTTTTCAGCATCATTCGATGGGTACTGTAATTCCGGTTTCTTCTTTAAATCTTTCGCAAAAAGAAATTGTAACGGATACAAGAAAATTGAAAGAAGCAACCAGATAATACTTCGGACGATCGGAAACGACTTTTTCGGTCGAGTTTCATAGAGCCGTTGAGCATTTGATTTATAATCTTTTTTTGGATCGTGTAATTTCCGCATACGGTCGCAGTAATCGAATATCACTCTGTATTTTTCGTGGATACCTGGCACAAGACTTAATGGAGCCATAAGTGAAGTTAATGTTAGATCAGCAGCTGTAAATTGGTTGTCGAATAAATATTCCTTTCCTTGGATATCGTTTTGAATTTCATCGAGAACACATATTGTCTTCTCGAAAATATGTTCTTCTTGAATTCGATCGACTCCCACCCGAGATATAATCACGCAAGAACCAGCTAAACCGAGAAAATAAGATTTCCAATCATTACAAGAACTCTTGTCGTATCGAAAGTCAACCAGAGCAGATAGAATTGCTGGATGTTCACTAATTATATAGAGATAAGCTAGACGGCGAGCATATAAACCTAATCCACTGTCTAAAGTAAGACAATACTGAACAATTTCGTCTTTTTTATTGACTGGAAATAATTTTGGCTTGTTTCCGTAACGTTCGTCGAGATAAAGGAGAATTGGTGTGGAATCGGAGAGAAAAAACGAATCATTATTTGGATCTTCGATAAGTGGTGTTAATTTTTGTACTTCTCGTGGAGCTTTTATGTATGCGGGTGTTTGACGACCAGTGAAGTTGACAGCTTCATACGGTAAAGAATAAAATTCTAGTCCCCATCGTACTTTGTCACAAAAATGTGAAAATGGAATTTGATACAAAACAATCGATTGCATGTCGACTATTTTTATCGGACAGTTACCGTGAGAGTTAAGAAAAAAAATAAACGAATAAGGCTCACGTGCAACTATGATAGAAGCTTTAAGGAGTGAAGCTGAGAGATCTGTGCGTATTAGGTCCTGGTATAGAATGGAGGCTTTACGAGAAAAATTAATTAATGATTGAGGTTGACGATGAAAAAATATTATTTATTTCTTTTGCGTTGTTCACTACCAGATTCACATAGCTGTCGACACATGTCGAACAAAGCTTTTCACAATCTCAATGCTTGCAGCATGAAGAGTCCAATCGATAGCGTTCATTTTTACCATTCTTGAATTTACTCACCTCGTATCTATTTATACGAATCAAAAGTCAGAAGTCCAATTTCTCTCATGAATAAACTTACCTTAATTTCATAATAGATGTCACTAACACTTATGAGAAAACCCTTGACAGTAAATCTCCTTAGAAGTACTACGTTTTGGTGACGGAGATAATTCAATCGTTTATCTGGCCAGATGAAAGCTTTGGTCATTTCGACAAGTCAATAAGAAAATTAATTCAAAATGAAACAGAACGTCGATGAACATTTCGTCTTCTCGAGGTAACGTCATCATTTACCCAAAAGTCCTCTTCACACATGCACATGAACTTTCATGAAATAGACTCGTCAGATAGAAAAAGAACGAACTGCTCAACTTCGAATAAATCACCTTTACTCTCACTGTCACCTTTGTAACATATCGTTCCTCTCTTTCCAAACAAAACCTTCCCAGTGGTCAGCCCATCTCCACTCCATCACGTTGTTCACGTTCATCGTCAGATTTACCATTAAACCATGTTTTACAAGAGAAAAGTGATAACTCTTCATTATCATCACCATCGAACAAACATCACGATCCATTATCTTATTTGATCGAACGAAATTAACGTGCCATGCAGCGACTCATCACAAATCATCAAGTGAACTCGAATCAAGAATCAACAACGATACTTTTATCTGCATCGATGCGAATACCTGATTATAAGAATGGACAACTACTGACAACAATTTCACGTATGAAAATATTCAATTGTCCCAAGCGCACAACCACAACAGAAAAGCACATTGATCGAGACATAGGATCTTTGTCAACAGTTGATTTTCCCCTCTGCTCTTTTACATGCTGAAGAACATCATGTATTTGAAACAGTTGAATTCAATTCTAAAGTGAGTTGAACTCATCGTCGTGAATCGGTTGATCAATGCTCATCTCCACTTTCGACATGTGATGATAAGACAAGTGCTTGTTCAACTCCAGCATTATCACCAGTCAAAAACGAACCGTTTGCGACACATGAAACAATGATTCGATCGGAAATGAATTGCTAAGAAAATATCGAAAAATAACTTTTTTGTAAAGATGGAAAAACATATCTTACAAAAATTGAATTTAGAATATTTTTAATAAATTTTTGTTAAGATCATTTGTAGGTGATATATGATTAATTACTACTGATTTATTTTCTCTCATTTATGAGGTGTAATACTTCGTATTGATTATGATATCTAGTAAAATTGCAGCCACTAATTCAGGATATTTATCTTTTTTTTATTTGTCCAGGACTTTATTCTTTGTTGTCAATTGATATATTTGATTTTTCTATGCTTGAATAGTTTATCGAATTGTTTGCCTTTTTTTGGATCACTTCTACTCTCATATAGATACGATTCGATTTGTTGCAATTCTCTTACCTTTCACCGTTTTACTGTATTACTACTATCCCATCCTCAAAATCTTTTTTGCGACTTTGATCTGTACTATATTTCTCCTGCGAATGCACTTTATTCACACGTGTTTTTTGTCTTACAACTTCGTCTTTGCTTCTCCGCATTGAGAAAAGAATTTACTTTTGATAAACTTGGAAAGTTTATAGATAGTATAGAGAAAATAGCACTGACAAAGGGAACACTCAAAAGATTGAATATTAGTTGATAGAAGTTAGTTTAGTGGAACTAAGAGATTGATTTATTTCAGTCTAATCAAAGTCATACAGTTACCGCGTTCTTATACCAGTGAACGGAAGTTTATTCCGACTTGGTACAACTGCCTGTATACGAATTAGGACTGTCTTGCATTTGCGATGGTTTATCCTTGAGCCAACATTCGGCGTCGTTGACGTGAAATGTCCAGTGATCACAAATAGCAACTGTTTCACATAATGCAGCACAAGCACTAGCACTGAGAACGTGTCCTGGATTAATAGCACCTATGTCACCACCATTCGAATCTTGGCCTTTAACAATGTTTGTACATCTGGTGTGCGTTGGTGCATCTGGAATAGAAAATACGATTGTTAATTCAATGATGATGAGAACAGTTTTATTATAGAGCTGAAAATACCTCGTTTTTGTTCAAATAAGTCTTGATCAAAATCGTCATCGGCAAAGTCTTGTCTGATTAACCGTGCATTGCTTTGGCTGATCACCATAAAGGCAAGAAGGGCAAAAGCCAGAATTGATGAATTCATTTTCGTGAATCCTAAATGGAAAAGAATATTGAATCTAAATAATAAATATAATCACACAATACTTTGCTATCAAATGGAGATGAACTATTGTATAAATGATACTTAGGATATGTATTTATAGACATTATATTGTGTGCGACAATCTGATACTGAGGGCGAAAAGGGGCGTTTTTGATGCAGTAGTATTTATGTTATGCCAACTCATACTATAGGATGACTATATATTTTGAATAGAAAAACAAAAAGTATTTTTTCGATCGCAAGATTATATAGATAATTAGACGCTTATTGTGAAGAGAATAATATTTGTTATATTCATATGCATAAACCTATGATATATTAGTGATCACTATTTATCTGCACCTGATTGTTTTTTACTTACGTGCGAAAATACACCGCGGTACGTTTAAAAAAAAGAATAGACCGAATCGTCCTAGACAATGTAGTCGTCGGCAAAGACGAGTGATTCTAGAGGACAATTATTGTTCATTTTTGATTTTGTCGCATTTTGAAAGTTTTTTGGAGACGATAGTAATGATCACTCTAATCGATTATACACGGAAATGTTGTAGTTATTTTATTGTTTCAAATACTTTCTAGATTGGACACACCCACATGACGTAAGAGAATGAAGCGAAATACATCCGGAATTCTCAACTGATCGTCTTTCAGAACCCATGGAGATATTCTGTTGAATCGTTCTCAAAGTTTTTAAAAGAACATAAGTCGTGCAACAACATTTGATAGCTGCCACTTGTGTTGATGTATATTATGAGCTCAGAAACTCATGAATCACTTTGTAATTATGTTTCTCATTAATCACCCTCATGTTTTTTTTCTCTTATTGTCATTTGTTGATATGATTAATAATAGTATATAACAAAGTGTGTCAAACAAAAATGTACAAAATCGTGTTTTTCAAGAATCTCTTATGCTGCTTCATCTCTTTTTTTATCATTTCTTTTGCTCAAAGTAATTTTCTTCTAAGACGAAACTTCATAAACTACTTTGAGAGCAACAATGACAGCTAGTCTATTGACAAGTATGTCATACTTCAACTGAAATCGATTTCCATCTCGTTTTATTTAGTTAAGCCATATCCCGGGGGATCAAATCGATGCTCCAAATTGTGCAAAATGTTTAATAAATTTCAAACAGAAAAATAATCGATGCTTTGAAAATGAAAAGTAAAACCAAATTACATAAACTCCGGCGATCCTTCTCATTCGAATGTGTTTCGATAATGTTGAGCTACCCCGTCGTACGGGTCAAACTGTTCTTCTAGTATTTCTTGCGTGTCTTTTAACAATCTTATTACTCGTCACAATGCTAATTGTCTATAGTCGATTAAATCATCAGCATCGCCGTCATATATCATCGAATCCATCCGATTTTTTCTGAAAATGCAAACAATCGCTTTAACAATCTCCTTCGCTCACTCGGTTTGAACAAATGCGGTCGATTTAACTTCTTTTCGATCTCGAATAACAATTCTTCATTTAGGGCAATATCGTCAACCAGCTGTATCAAACGCGCATATTAAGTGAAAATCCCGATGAAGCTTTGCGCTATTTGATGATCCCTATGCTGACGGTGGCTTTCAGAACTCAGCAAGTAGTGCATATCGTTCATTATTTTAATGGTTATTGATCTGTATTAAGTACATATTGCTTTGAAAATTTTCAATTAGTATTTTATTCAAAACTTGGCAATTGGACTGTAAAATAGATTTCTTTGCTGCTTTTCAAATGAAATATAGCTATGAATAGCTTTTATATACAAATTAACTTGGAGTGTCATTATCTGAATGAGAAGTGATATCATTTTGTCGACAGAAAACATCAAGATACTGAAGAAATTTGTATTCAGTTCGTTGCTTTGGATCAGTTGAGATTTCGAAATTTGTTCGATATGGAATGAACGAAATGTGCGATGATTGTAAATTGTTTTCTAATGTTTTGTAGATGGAATTGGTTTGAGCTGGTTGTGGTAATGAGTGACGTTTTGATGCCATTCGATGACGATTTTTCAAGTGTTCTTGTTGACGATAGAGTGAATTTTCTCGACGAATTGTCGCCATATGTGCACGATTTCGTTGTCGTTCGTTTTCCCGATAAAGTGGATCTTCCAAACGTTTTCTTCGCATAGCACGAGCGTTATTTTCGCGTTCAATTCGACGATATTCGGAATCTCTCTCGCCTCGCAATTGAACCATATACATCGCACGTTTTTCTCTGTTTGTCAGCACTTCTTTGCTGCGTTCATGGTGTTGATTTGAACAAATATTCAATTCAGTTGTATTATTCATCAAGTTCACAAAATAAACACTTTTCTTCTTTACTAAACATTAATCAATGTCATTAGCCAAGCTGAAGATGGTGTATGTAAATGCGTTTTAATTTGATAAAAGACGTCGTCTAGTTGCACGATAGTTTTCTCGGTAACTCTTATTAAGATGAAGTCGATTTCTATTGTGAAACGCGAAAAGTAGCGATGATGTGATAAGCTAATGTGGAAATGATCTTCAATGTATGAGGACTGAGTCGTCAAAATTGCCAACGAATGAAGATACGTTGAGTATCATTGAATGCATTCAATAGTGACATCTATTCATAAATCATCCGATGTAATGAACGAGTGGTATGATACATTTCTCTTCATTATGACTTGTATTTTTAATTCGTACTCACTTGAAAAACGTGATCAAAGGGTACGATTTTTCTCTTTCCCATCGAGAATCTTATGACTAATGGGTATATCGTTCAAGTTCGGTCTTCGTAGCCTTTTATATGGTTGATTTGCGAAAGGACTATCGAGTTCAGATGCAAAAAGTAGTTTATTAATTTCATATCAACATTTGTTTCGCTCCACAGTAGAGAATAATTAAGATACTCTTGTTTATTTCGACGTACGCAAGTTATCTTTCGGTAGCGAGAACACCGACTCGATGTTAGTATTGCCAATAACAATATCGTACAGGAATATACATAACGATGTGACTTTTGTCTTCTATTATGGTCGGTAATATTTTTCTCCTGTTCGAATATATTTTCTCTCGTAAGAAAGCAACAGAACCGACTTTCTGCTCTTGTGTTTATATCCAAAGTCTTTTGATCTATTTATTCTCTTGTCGAAATCGCTGAGAAAAACAATAACAAGAAAGAAAGCTGTTTTTTGTTGAGAGGTGAGTACTCCATGATATTTACTCGTTGAATAGTAAATGAGGGAAAGAAGAGAGGAAATGGATATTGAAAATAAAGTAAAAGTTCATGCAGCGATCTTTTTTCCATTTATCGTCTATTGTAGCTTTTCTTTCCATTAGGCTAATCAGATGACGAATTTCAGAATTTCTAAACAGAAGAGAAGAAAGAGAAAATAAACGAAATAATATCAAGATTAAAAGCAACGTGTTTTCCCTTCTCGTTATTTTTTTCTCTTCGTCAAGATCGGTACCACTATTACTACTCTCATCGATAACATCTCATTACGAAAATCGAAGAAAATCATCATTTACGTAAGTAGAGTAGCTATTCACCTACGTTTTGTCTTCTTCCCGTTGCATTTTAGCATGATGTTCTTTCCCCGATGAAAAACATAACGAGAGTCAATGAGAACTTGTTTCTTTTTTCATCGAAATATTTTAGATGATAATAATGCATTGCTGCATTCAAATGAACATTATTTGAAAAATCAAATAGATTCGAACTGTAATCAAGGTTCTTATACGAACTTATCAAGTATTTTAGAACATCGTCCATCATTGACTACAAGGATGCCGAAAATCAAGGTATTTGGTGGATCATCTCATCCGAGTGTGCTCGACTCGGTCTCGAGCCAGGAAGAGTCATAACAAAGAAATTTAGTAATCGAGAAACAAGGTAAACGAAGTTGTTCAAATTGTCCTTCTGACCTTTGTATGAAGTGTGGAAATCAATGAATCTGTACGTGGTGAAGATGTTTTTTATTGTTCAAAGTGGCTGTGGGGAAATCAATGCTAATCTTATGAAATTATTGATTATGATCAATGCATGTAAAATAGCTTCAGCATCACGAGTCACTGCCGTTCCATATTTTCCTTATGCACGACAAGATCGAAAAGATAAAGTAAGAGAATTGAAACGGACGTTGAGTGTTGCTGGTGCTGACCATATCATCACGATGGATTTACATGCATCACAAATTCATGTAAAGAAAACAACACGAAGTGGAATTTTGGTTTTAATTAAAGCGGTTTTTGTAGAGATTTTTCGATATTCCTGTTGATAATCTTTTGCAGAACCGGCTGTTATTCGATGGATTTCTTTGATTTTGCCTTGATTCATAAGGAGCGAAAACGAGCGAACGAAATTGATTGAATAGTGCTGGTTGGTGATGTCACCGATCGTACTGCTATTCTCGTTGGCGACATAGCTGGTATGTAAAGTGCATATTCCCGGTTCATATATGTTTCTTATGAAAATATTCGTAGATACATGCGGAGCACTTGAATGTGCATCACAAAAGTAACGACAAAGAATTTTGAAGATGTGAAATATGTTTGTTTTTCTCGTTTAATGATAGATTATTGAGTGCAGGTGCAAGTAAAATTTACGCAATTTGCAGTCATGGAATATCTAGTGGCCCGACTATAGAAAGGATTAATAAATCTCCATTCGATGTCGTGGTTGTGATGAACACGATTTCACAAGAAGAAAATATGAAAAATTCGAGTAAAATTCAGGTAAAAACCGTTAATCCGTCGATTTTTTATCACGTGCGTTTTCTTATCGGGATAAATTGTTTCTTTACGCAGTTGGATATCGATCGTTTAGATAAATTCGTTTAGTCAGAAAACGTAATTGTTGTATTTTACCATTTGATTCGATTTCCTGTAAATCTGATCGTTCATAATTGAGAAAAACCATTCGAAGATTTCTTACATTTTTCTCTCGGAAATCTTCGAATGTTAACAACATATCCAAATCACACCGAGATTTACCAAATTTTGTTATCGATGAACCAAATGGAGGACAAACAGTATCAACAAAAATACTCCCAGATGCTTCTAGGAAGAATTGGTCACACTGCTTTCCCCATACAAAACATTTTCGTCCTTTTACCTTCGACGAGTGATGCAACGAAGAATCGAAGTCTTGTATCCAGTTCAGTTAGTTCGGTTTTTTGCCAAAAATGACGAATTCGGTCACTCGTGATATTCAATAATTTATTGACACTTTGTTCGTTCGAGAATTGCAATAACGCACATTCCTAAAAGAGTCAATCACATTCGATTGTTACTCTATGATAATTTGAACAAACTTTTTTATTTGCGCAATAAAGTGTTGTATTCGGAATCTCAGCAATATGTGAACATTATTTGTATAGTTCGGATTCGGAATGAGATCGACCAAGCTAAAGTTTTAGGAAATTAGATGGAAGATTGGAAAAAGAAGGGAACAGTTTACATGGATCAACACTGTTCGTCGGGTTTGTTCTCGTCGAGAATCAACCAATGAATCGAAAGTTTGTGTAACATTATGATCTGAAATAATTCGAATGAGTTTTGATTTTGCGTAAATTATTAGTTAATACGGTCTTTCTTTGCTGAAGGTGAAAATAGCGGTCTATGTGAACGGATTGATGATGAATAACGTTGAATAATAGATGTATAATATGATTGAGTTGACAGAAAACGTAAAGAAACTGAAGAAGATTGATAGAACGATTTCAAAGGTAACATCTTTACTAAAGAATACAAATACGAGAAGATTTTTACCTCTCCGTCGTCGATATAATCTACCGAGCAATCTTTTGTTGAACGTCTATACCAGACTGGATGGTCTTATAAACGCCGATTGGATTGGAATCTGTTATAGATGATGCCAGTGCTATGGATATGTTGTATCTATACAATCATTCAAAAACTTTAGTCAGTTATTGAAATTCAGCAGATACTGAATAACTAATAATGACCGAAGAAAAACTTGGACAGACAGAATGTCTATTGTTGATCGTGAAAAAGCTGTATTTCAAAAAGCGTCGTTATCGATAATTATATCCTTATCTCTGATATCCGCCTATTTTATCAAGAAGCAATATAGAAAAAAGCTTTTTCTTAAAAGCGCCTCACATTAGATATTTTCAACGGTATATTATCACCAACGATTTACGGCAAGTCAGCATAGACTTTTCTACACGTTTCTTGTTTGATTTTATTTACCAACCTATTCAATCAATTAGAACTGTATCGTAGGTGCATTAGTTTTTATGTTTTGCTGAAAGTCGTCATCAAGTGTTTGAATTTGAACTTGTTCTCATTAGCATATCACTTGATTCATCATAAAGATTGGTTGTATTTCTAGAAATTCTATGATAGATGATTTTGTCAAAGAACCGCATGCATAACAATTCTCAATATCATGGCGGAGTTTTGATCTCCAATCGATGTTTATCGAGCTATGCATAGTATTAATAAATGAATGAATAGTATAATTCGATACGGCACGAGTCATGTTAATCTGTCGAATATCGAAATTGAGCGAAGATTTGGATTGTTATTTGCAATGAACCGCTTGCGGCACTGATTTATCTTTATTGCGTCTCGAAATTACAGAATAGATCTATAGAGTTGCTTCATCTACTCCGGAGAAGCTACTGGCGGACCAGTGAAATGTTTTCTTCCCCACAAAATGTACCAGATGACACTAATAGTGGCAAAGAAAACAAACAATGCACTAGCATAATTCATACTCGAAGCAGTCACTGGTATTGCAGTTGGCATTGTAAATATGACAATAGCCAAAATAATCCAGAGAATTGTTGCTACATTAATGATGTATCCAACTTTACCCAAGCGAAAAGGAGCATGGTTCACTAGATAACGTCCTCGTACAATAAGTATCAGCACAGGCGATGCATACGATGTTGAGAGACATATAGTCGCAACACCAGTAAATGCATTGAATGCTGCTGATGAACCGAGATATATCAGACCGAGAAGTCCTTGAATTAATGTGGAAAGTAGTAGAGCATTGAGTGGTATATCATACCGTTTGTTGATTTTAGACCAAACCAAGGAGCCTGGTACTGCTCCATCTCGACTGAATGCATAGAGGCATCGTGAGGTAGCTGTTAATGAACCGATTCCAGCAAATGATTGAATGCCGAGTATGAGAAACAAAAGACCGAACCCACCGCCAGCTGAACCTGTCGCCGTCTTAAATAGGTAACCAATGGGTTGACCAGTTGATATATTAAGTAATTTGTCAACGTCGGGCATCACAAATAGAATAGGAATGAGGTAGATCACACCAGTTATTCCTGCTGCAACTACGGAGAGAACCATTGCTTTGGGTACTTGTTTTTCTGGGTTCTGTACTTCTTCACACATAGCTGCGACCATACCATAGCCAGTTAGGGTATAAGCAGATTGTAATAATCCAACGAAGAACGCCCATCCAGGTGGCCAACCTGCTCTTGTTGCATCAAATTCAGTGAACACATAGGAAGCACTTCTTCTACCTCCTCGTGCCATTGTCAATACGGTAATGAGAATAATTAAAACTGATGCCGCCGTCCAGTAAACGCAGATAGTATTAATAAAATCTAAATATTTTGCAAGCCAAATATTTACACATAAAGCAACGCATAATACAGCCCAATACATCAGTACGACATGCCAAGCAGCAGGAACATAAGCTTCATTCCAAAGTCCTATGGCGGACAGTATAAGTTGTCCACCGGAAAAGCAAATCGATGTAGTCACAGTCCAATTTCCAACGAGACCTAACCAGCCTGTTATCCATGAAGTCACTGGTGCCCATCTCTTGTTTGCTAACATTGCGGACCAATAGTAAACTCCGCCAGAGGTGGGATATGCTGAACAAATCTCTGCTAAACTTGCAGCAATGCATACAGAAATTATAGTCAGTAATATCCAACCGTAGAAAATCGTCACTGGACCACCGTCAGTAAGACCAATAGTTAACGTAGTCGATTCACCGAAGGGTACTGCCATGATAGCAAACGAAAGTCCAAGCACGGAAAAAAAAGATAACGAGCGTGGTAATTCGGATTTATAGCCCATAGCGGCAAGTTGAGCATCTGCATTTTCAGATAAAGCTTCTTGTTGCTGATCTACTGTTCGTTGAGGAGTGTTATTTTCACCATCAGAAGAACGGATGGCACTTGGAGAAACAGTGTTTGTCATCGAGCTTGTAAAAGGACAATTCGAGCTATCAATTGATTACCTAGAATGTTTTTAGTATATAATATTGTTATGTAGAATAAACGAGAGAATTAACTTTTACTTTATGTATAGGATATAAGTTTTATACAACACCCACGTGGCAAAATAAATATCACATATTTCTTTGCTTCGTCTCACGTTCGTTTTTACCGTAGAACATCATTGAATGTAGATAAGAAGCGTAAAAGAAATACAGGTTTATGTGAGCAATTCTTTTTTCTTTCGTCGTTCTGTCTTGATTCTCAATGAGATCGAATGTGTGAGAATACAATTCGTACGTACATCTATATACGCATATATATATCATTAACATTTGTAGTAAAAAAGACCTTGTAAAACGAAATTCATTTAGTTTGTATGCTTCTTCTCTATAATAAAAACTAATTTATTTCATAGTTTGAAAAGTTCTCATAGAAAACTTTAGTTCTTGGTGTGATGTGATAGAATGTTTTCATCACTATGATATCCATAATGTTTTCTATTTCAAAAAAAAAACTTCGAATTACTCTGTTTCGAAAAACTGCATGGCTAGATAATATAAAAGAAAAAGTTAAAAGAATCTTTCGTTCTGCAATATTTTTCTTACGTAGCGATCGTTTTTAGTCACATGTACAGCCTTCCCGTTATGGGTAAAATAATGAAAATACGCTGATATGTATTACGTCAATCACTTTTTTTCCCAAAAGATTGTATTCCCACGTTTATAATGATTAATCATATATAAGACACTAGCTAAGTTATATCGACATACTTCTCCGTTTCAGATGAATACCGAGTTCTTCTCAACACCTCGCACTCCTAGAAATTATCAAAACACTTTCGTGTGGTAGGTTACGTATAAGTACGACTCTCTCCTAATATTCGTTTTTAGTTATAATTGCAACCAGTCTGGTCATAAAGCACGAGATTGTCACAAAGATCCACACAGATTAAAACAATGCTTTCAATGCCACCGTTATGGTCACATCGCACAAGATTGCACAATGCCAGTTTATCAGTTTCAGTACACAAACAACACCGGTAAATCAATGAAAAATCGAAAAGCACCAGCATCACAGGTTGTCCAGAAAGGTAAATGTTGGCGAAAGCATTTAATGTTGATAACGTAACTGGATTTAGATGTTCGTCAAACAAATGTAAGATCATCGTCGGACCCAAATACTCAAACGAGGAAAAGCACTATAAAACAGATATCGGTAGTTTTATCGTTCAACGCATAATACAGAGCACTGATTCTTTCGAATTTAGCCTGGTCAATGCACAAAAGCTCGCCGAGGAAATCGCTATACACAGCTGGAGGTGTTAGCTAATGAACTTTTTTGTGACATATTTCAATATCTCTCAATCGGTGATCTTCTCAAAGCTTTTTACGAGCTCAATTCCCGTTTTAAAGCACTAGTTCTCAGTCATTCATGCCTTTATCACCTAGATTTTGACTCAATATCAAAATCTGATTCAATTACAGTCTTTCAACGACACATTCCATTGGTTAAAAGTCGAATTGTTTCAGTTCGAGTATCTGATCGTAACTATGCTATGAAACAAACTAAACTTTTAGTATTACACGGTCTAAATCTACGAAATTTCGATCAGCTGCGATCCTTCACCCTGTGCCATGTCCGTTGCGAACAGACGATGGATACGATAATGCTTGCTCTATCTCGTCTAAGCCACGTTACTCACCTGAAAATCATCAAATGTCATTCATCATTCAACTATCAAGAATCGACTAAATTATCCAATATCATTTGGAGTTTACCGAAATTAACTCGTGTCTATCTGGACACGGAACAATATAAATTTTATTGCCCTGAAAAACGATCATTATCACTAGAATATGTTACAATTGTAGGACACCGTTGTTTATTACATGAAATAGCTCGATTACTGACCAAGACACCTCGTCTTTGTGGTTTGTCCATACGTCATTGTGACCTGAATGATAATCAATTTTTCTCAGCGCCTGTTCTATCGATAACCACTTTGAAATTGTATGACATTCGCTCTAGACCTATACTAATGAACCTCTTACAAACGATGAACAATTTACATCATTTGACTGTGGAAACTTTCTATAATAATTTCGACGGTTATCAGTGGGAGGAAATCATCACGCATTATTTGCCAAAATTACGAGTTTTTCGTCTTAAAATGGACATACAGTATATTGGCATAATGAACAATGAAGAACAGACTGATATACTGCTCGATTCATTTCGGAGTCATTTCTGGCTTGACGAACGTCAATGGTTCGTTCGATGCCATCGGAAACTACAACTCACACATAGTGACATTCTCCTTTATACCGTACCACTTCTATTCAAAAATATCACTATAGATACAATGTGTTGTCCATACAAGTCAACCTGTCCTACAGACAACATATAGTCGATGGTAATATGAGGCATATAAGACGCAACTACGTATACTTCACTTTTGCGTGCAATTTAGCTCTTCTTCGAAATTTTATATTCAATCTTCAGGCATGCTATACGTTAAATAAACTCTTTCGGTTGCATAATATAGTCTCTAATAGTCAAAGCACTATAGTCGTGATCTATTGATACGAGTAGACTTTATGTTATAAACCCGTGTCTAGGAAAATAACCTTTTCTTCCTCATGCTTCTATCTTTCATGAAAGTCGCACACCCGTATATGCTTGCTTCTTAAAAGTAAAATAACTGTTTGAATAATAATTCACTCTGACATCATGGAAACACGATACATTCTATGATTATCTACCGTCAGTGATGTATTTTATTTACGATGTCGAGCTGCTGAAAAAGTTAATTTTCATATGTGATATCATAAACCGAAATTAGAAAATCTGCTTCCATTGGAGAGAATTCATGCAGTGATGATGATATTGTTCTTTTACCAAAAGGTTCTCCAAACACAAGGCACAAACAACATAGACAACTATACAGAAACGAACCGACGGTAGTTTTTTGTGATACTGATAAGAACACGTGATAACTTTTTAGATAAAGAAACATGTCTCTGAAGTGGGAAAATTTATTCGTACAAGAGCAGAGCTACAAAAGGTATGTACTCGATCTCGTTTGAATCAAAATAATCTGTCGTCCAGTGACGAAACTCAACGCGTAGAGAAATCATCCTCATAATTTTTTGCTCAGGTTAGCTGTATTTTGTAATATTTCATTTGTGATATAGAATGAATGTAGACGGAAATTCCTTCACTGACGCCTATGATGACAAAGTTCGTCCAATAATGGATAAGATCGATCAAATTCGATCATTACTATCAACAAATAATGATGGTGTCACTTTTCCAAATGTCGTCGTTGTTGGTGATCAATCAAGTGGCAAATCAACGTTATTAGAAGCATTATCATTAGTTGAACTTCCCAAAGGTTCTGGTATTGTGACGCGCTGTCCATTAGTGTTAAGATTACGCAGATCTAATCGACGACAAGTGTATCGTATACTTGAGAATAACAAAAAAGATGTTCTGGATGAAACACAATTAGACATATTAAAATATATTGAAGAAGAAACGAAGAAAATAGCTGGCAGTAATAAAAATGTTGTTGATACTCTAATTGAATTACTTGTCGAAGACCCAAACGTACGTGATTTGACAGTTGTTGATCTTCCTGGTATTGCACGTAATCCGATCGGTGATCAGCCGAAAGATATTCATCAACAAACAACGAAATTAATCAAAAAGTTCATCAGTCAAGAAGGCAGTGTAATTCTTTGTGTTTTTCCTGCCAATGTTGATATTGCTACAGTAGAATCGTTCACATTAGCACGTGAATTTGATCCTGATGGTGTTCGTACAATCGGTGTTATAACAAAATCTGATTTGGCAACAAATAATGAAACATTGATTCAACAATTGTTGATGGAAAAAGAAGATGTTTTCAAGTTAACATTGGGTTTTGTTGCTGTTCGAAATCGTAGTACCGACGAACGAATTAGTTTGGTCGAAGCACGGCAACGTGAAAAAGACTTTTTTCAATCTCATTCAGTGTTGCCTGTGGTCGGTTGGGATTGTCTTGGTATTGAAGCTTTAATTAATCGATTAGCAAATCTCTACTCTGATCGAGTCAAAGAAATATTTCCGAAGATGCGTAATGATATTCAAAAGAAAATGAAAGAAGTTCGTGAACAATTATCGAATTATCCGGCAGATTTAGATACACCTGCAGCACGTTTGGCTAAGTATTATGAATTAGCAGAATTTTATGTTGAAAATATGTTGAAAATACGATTTTCAAGTTCTTATGACAATAAACATACAAGTATGATTAACACTTTACATAACAAATTTGCCAAATATAATGACATCGTGAATTCATTTACGAAAGAACTGTTTACTACGTCATATCATGAAAAGGTTCGTTTGGCTATCGCATCATGTGTTGGAGAACAATTACCAAATTTTCTTCCACATCCTATATTAAAACGTTTGATTGGCGATAAACTTGATCAACTTTGGAAGATAACTGATATTCTTATCAACGAATGTTATCATTTAGCAGAAAAACTACTATTAGATCAAAATTTAGATGAACACAAAGGACATGTTCTTCTGATGAAATTAATACCAGCTTTTCGTAACGTTGTGAGTTTATATTTGAAAGAGAAAAATCAACTGGCACACCATCAATTACAAGAAATGATTCGATTAGAAAAACACGATCCGTATACAATGCATAATTCATATTTAGAAAAACTAAACGAATTTCAAACGAATATGAAAGCACATGAAGCGAGTAAAAGTACAGTGAAGAATTCATCACCTCCGGAAATCAAATTTCGAGAAGATGACGATGAACTCATGTTTAAATCAGCCAGAGAAATTGAACAAACAACACGAGAGATGCTCTTTAGTATCTATGCTTACTGGAAAGTATTAGTCAAACGTTTTATGGATTATACTGCTTTAACGCTACGCGCAGGGTGTGACTTTGATGTGTGCACAGGTATAAAAGAACGTTTAAGACACATTCCCATGGAACAATGTGATTTTGTGGATTCGTATCTTGCTGAAGATGCATCTACTCTTAGAAAACGAAAACAACTACAACAAACAAAAGAACGATTAGAGAAAGTCGATGCTATTCTAGGTGGTCGTGCTTCGATAGATACGATCGGAAACTATTCGTTTATTGATATGAATCCATTTGACAACGATTCAATGATGACTTTGGACAAATTTGAGCAAAATATCAATACTTCATCATCTACTGCTACTAGTACAGCAGCTGCTATTGTGGATACTACGAAAAAGTAAGACAAACGTAAATATCATCGCCATGTTTCAACTTCCATTAATTTGAATTTTGAGCTTTATCGGCGAGTATAATTTCAATAGGCTCTGGAATTTGTTGAATTATAATTGCTTGACTTTCAAATAAAAGTTCTTCAAAATAACATTAGTTGCTGTAAACAATCAATACTTGTCGGTAACAATCATTTAGAATATCATTTCGTGTATAAAAGAAATTTCACATCGATCTCGTTCTTATCAACTGCATTGAGTTTTTTTATTCGTAATCACAAGCTATTACTTCTTTCAATTGCTTGATAAATTGATATTTCCACGATGTGCATTATACATTAACGTGTTCGTCAATCACGAAAACCAAATTGGTTTTTGACATCAAAATAAGTTTCGATAAGTGAAGCGAAGATCACAAAAAAGCGACAAAGATCAACAGATAACATAATATACTGCTTCTCGATCAGATTATTCATTTCTCATGCCTACCGCCTACTTTATAAATCAGGTGTCGCATTAGCAGTTGTTCTTTTTCTTAACAGAACTTGAGTCATATTGTCATTGCAGCTGAATATTTCGCAATTCAACATTGTTCTTGCGAAGTTTCTTTTATCTTAATATAATATAAGTTATCGTAATACCGAGTTTTTAGAAATTTCTACATTTTCAAGTAAATGAAATCATGTCATTGGACGAAGAATTTGATTATATGTCCAGTCAAGACAACTACGTGATTGATGAACAGATAGACCTATTTGAAGCTCATTATTATGCAAAATGCAGGAAAACAAAACAAAAAATTAAAAAAACACCATGTCCGATAACAAAGAAAACGCTCAAATGTCAACTAACAGTCCTCAAACGGAGTTGTACCAACGAGAAGCAAACTCCCAAGGCTCAGCAAAAAACATTTCGATATGATCATTACCCGCACAAGCCCAAGCCATTTGACTGTGATGAACAATTTCTTGACACTTCGCCAAGTATTGACGACGAAAATCAGCAGAATTTTTCCAGTTTTCGACGTCATTTCTATGAAATGAATCACACACTGATCAAATCGTCGTTTGGGAAGTATTCAAACGTTCAAATCATGAATATTCGTCCAGTATCAACAAACGAATCAATAGTACAAGAATTCATGGAGGAATTGCCTAAAACACCGCTCTTTCCCCATCTAGTTTATCATGAATTAAAACTGAGCAATCCAAAAATTACTTTTCGCTATGGATTTTCCGTATCAAATCGAAACACTTCGGCAAGGTTTCTTTCGCGAACGCATCGCTACTCAACACAAAATAGACAACATGGTGCAATACATTTATCCGGTCTGCTATGTTGTAACAGCAACAGTAGTATCCTGGCTTGTGCGGCAATATACAAACGCAATAGATATCTTTCGGTTACAGATTCTAGTGGACATATGTACGGCTATAATAATATATTACGAATGATTCCATTATTTATAGTTGATCTGAGATATTTTCATCGATCCAAAGCGGATGGTTCTTGGTTTCGCGTACCAGATGTACCACCGGTTAATGTTAAGAAGAAAAATGAGATACCAGAAATCATTCCAAAGAAGTATTTACGGAAAGTTTTGGATCTAATCAATGACCATGAACGACGATACAATCAATATCAAATACGACACTATCCCTATAAGGATTAATAAAGTACACGTACGAGTGCCTTTTCAAACGATTGTGAAAAGTAATAAATTACTTGATAGTTTGTCAGTCTCCATTGTAAAAGATTTTAACTATGCCAGTGCGGTACCTCTCATATTATAGAATTTTCTGACTTGATTAGTGCACACCATTAAATATGATTTCGTTTGCAATCTACTTGCACATTTCTTCTCTGCTAGTGTTACAATTCTAACTCATGAAAAACTATATCAATATCTCGAAGTTGTGCCTTTTGTTGGGTCTTCTGTCGACACATGTCTTCTACTAAACGATTCGAGCCTTGAGCCGATAACAAACAGGATGTCGGCGAGGGTGAAATTCTCGATATGAAGTTGAAAGTTTTAACATCGTCAACAAAGAAGATGATAAGAGGATCACCAAACCATATGCTTGATTGAGTACATATGAATGGTTAGCGGCGGAATTTCATGTTTCTGAAATAGGTCAAGTGGCCATTGAATCTTATAATAACAATTTACGTCCTGCTGGAAATGTAGAATTCTATAAAACCATTGCACAAATCTTTGAACGTTTTCGATATTGAAGAATTCTCAATGCTTGAGACGTCGAAATCCAAAATTGACCTACGCGGAAGAAGATTTCAAGTTATCGTTAGATTAGCAATTATTATCTGAACGCTCGGTAATCCAAAATATCCTGGCGGAACTTGCCATGTCGAAGGAATGGAAAATGAACGTATTGTTGAATCAGAAATCTGGCACTATTCGAGTTCAAATCCAGGTCGGTCTGATCCACAGTTTCGAACAGCTATCTATGAAGCTGATTATTAACAAGATGATCATCCGAGGTATCGCAGCAGTATATGGCTTGCAGAATGAAGGACCACTAAATCAATCGTTAAGTTCCGTAATCACACAAGAAAATCGTCGTATTGCCCCATTCGAATTAAAAGATCCAAAGCAAATCAGTGTCCGGAAGATCTTAGTCTTCTTTTTTCTTGTGGATCCATCCCTTCGAAATATATCGAATACATATGTTCTGTTCCAACAGAGTGAATGGTACTACGATGTCATACATAATATGAGTCCTTTTAAGGAATTACCTGCGTTATTTATCGAGAGAATTTTGCATTATGTTCAATTTTCAGGGAAATGGGATGAAGCGAAAGAACGCCGCGAAAAACTAATGGCTGAAAGAAAATATTTCATTTGAGAAAATAATAAACTATACTATTCGAAAGACCATTTTCACTACGTGAACATTGAACATGTGTAAAATCTCTTCCTTCAGCATGGAACATTCGTAACTTTTTTTATTTATATAGTAAAATAAGCTATAGGCTCCATTATGCTTTCATTTAAATTAATCAGTTTTTTGTTACATGAATACAAAGATTCGCGCAAATACGTGTGCGATCACTAATCTCTTCCATCTGCTTCTTATTGTAAGTAAATCTGCAAAGCCGATGCACGCAATACTTGAGCACGTGCGATGCTAACAGGTCGTTTTATTCGATTGTTACAGAAAAACTTCATACGTTGTTCAATTCAAACGAGGATTCGTATCGGCGCGGTTGTTGAGTTTGATACATTTGGCGATGATAAAGGTATTGTCGTCGACATCGTTGAATCAATCGACCTACTTCGATTCGAAATGCACGTCCCGATAAACAGTAAACATAAAAGTTCAACGAACAGTTCATTAGAACTGCCAGTAACACCCACCACGATTCATGTGCTTCAATTGCATTTAAATGTCCGATAATATGCGATAGAAGTGAACAGAGAAAGAGAGATGAATGAACAACGAGAACAATATTCATCCATGATCGTGCTCCAAACTGTTTTATATCTGCCCGATGCACTATTCGCTTCGATAAATGATAATTTGTTCGAAGAAGGTGATGGATAATGATACTATTGAACAGAATAATCACAGCAGTTGGAATCAATTCCGAAAACAAACAACGGATAGTGAAATGATTGAATCCTAGATGAAATTCCTGGAAATACCTTCGCCAGCGGAGAGATGCATTTGGATGAACTTCACACACAACTACCGTTGTATTTGAAGACAAAGTGTGGTCACTAAAATAAAATTGAATAAAAATGAACAAAGAAGAACGTCATTTTATTCTATACATTGATACTTGTGGTTGAAACATGAGTAAAGGAGGTACGATAACGCAAATCAATATGAAAAGTATCATTCCAAGTGGGAGAATAAATTTAATTTGATATGAATTACATGGAGCAAATAATGTCCGTAGTCGAATTGAAATACACATCAGTCGTTCAAACATCCAGAATAATGTATTCCAGGACGAGAGAACTCGAAAAGAGAAGGAAAACTCATATAATTTGCAAGCTGTCGAATATCCTCCGACTAATTTATGCAGACGATGTCGTGTCGATGAATGAAGAATAGCCGAATATCGAAAGACGCAGAGAAGATTCGTGATTGAACTACACGTTGCCAAAAATGCATATGTCGATGATACTCTCCAAGAACGACGAGATGAAGAGAAAATAAAGAGTCCTAGTACGTTTCCAATGATACCGAAACAAACTAAGATATAGCATAATATGTTAATTATTCGTGTTTGTAATGATGAGGAAGGTGATTCCTGAGAGAGTAATGACGTGTGTTTAAAGTATAACATGATTAATAATGCTCTTTATGTCCTCTGAAACTGACACTACGATTGGGAACTCGAAGACGATATGTTTCTAGAAGAAATTAGATGAATGTGGAGAGAAATCCAATGCCACTCTGCGATAAACACGTTCCTTCACCAGTTCAAGAATGTTAAGAGAAAATTCTATTATGCACACTGAATGTATGTTTTTCTCATCTCTTTATTAATAAAAATGTCTTGTCTTCAAATTCTATTACGCGCAATTATTATACTCTTGTAGATTATAGATTCTAAATAGAATATATCACGTTGAAATACAATTATTCTTTACATTTTCTTGTTGACCCTTGTTTCAGAATGCGCTAGTCCTAGATACGAAAAAAAACAACGAAGACGGTGGGTGAAAAAGTATACCATTGTTTCACAATCGCTATCCGCAGATATAATAGATACTTTATCCTCTTCAAAGCCGGCCATCTCAACAATGGATTGATCGATTTCTATTCTATGTGACGTCATTCAAATGACTCACATATTTTATGACAAAGCGCCCTAAAAGATTTTCTGATTAATAGAAAGGTAGAAAAGGACACGTTTGTCATAGCTGTTTTCTGTATTTGAATTGATCAAACAAAAAAAAATGAGAAGGAGAAGTCGTAGAACAAACAAAATGTTGTTCTTTTGCTTTCTCTTCAAAGCATATTTATTACATTTCTTTTCAAGGATCATTCGTCACCTCATTTTACACTGTTTTAGGAAGTCGTGTCACAAAATTTGCTTCTCTGATTTATACACACGCCATTGGTTAGATCTTTCTAGAAAATTTGCAACGATATCGTTGTACTTATGGATCATCTGGAAATTGTCTATAGTATTAATCAACGAATTAAAGAACTACAAGAAAAAATTGAGAAGCTACGACAGAAAAGTTCGCAAAAGGGTAAAGGAATCGACGCTGATGCTGAACGTCGTATTGGCGATTTAAATATGAAGATTAATGAACTAATATTGGAACGTACTCGAGAACTGAAAAGAGTTCGATGGAGTGAGAAACGAAAGCCGCGAGTAAAACCAACGATAAAACCAGCTGACAAGGATGACTCGGCCACTGTACCAGAAGCAGTTGATACTGACCGAACTCCTACACCTATTCCAGTGGCTATTCAGTCTGTTCTTGTACCATCTACACTGAAAGTGTCCGACATGGATGTTGGAACAGATTCTACAACGCTGACGATGGTTCCTACTTGGTTCCAAACGGACAGTGAGGAAGACGCTTTAGATGGCATCGTCTACCCAGAAGACGCAGGTGACCGCGAACAGTTCGTAACAGTAGCACGTTTTCGAGCAGTGCGCGGACAATCAAAAGATTTTACTCTTCATCCAATCGATATAAGTGAAAAGTCGACAGAAACTCTTATACTTTCGCTTGATGCTTTTGCCCGACAGTTTGGCGGACAGTTAAGTTTTACGAATCGAAATTTAACATTTGAGAATAGTGCTGAAAATGCTGCTTGTGGTGTGCCGAATCTAGGTAGTGCTCATCTACTCGCTAATGATGGTGTACCTACAGCAAACTTTTCCTTCATTGTCGAACTTGACTATGAAACGGAACTTGCATTTTCAGAACAAACACTGGAAACTTTTATAATTAATTTCACTGTTGCTATTGCGCAAGTGCTCGGATGTAAAAAAGACTATGTTCGTGTGTTCTCCATTGAAAAGGTAGATGGACAACCTGGTCTAGTACGAGTCAATTTTGGCTTGACAACAGCCAATCAAGAGGACACAGAGTCTTTGGCTATACAATTACAAGTAAGCTATAATGAGAATAATATCTTCTATCTAATACGATCGCTTTAAGGATAAGGCCAAAAAAGGCTTCGGTGATAATGAAGTTCTACAAATTGTTCAATTAGGCGATTATGAGTACAAGTGGAAATCCGTACTATCTTACTTAGAACTTAGAGTGTCTGATTTTGACCCACGTTTCAATTTTGATTATGCACAACCTGGTTTACCTTACGAACAAGAACGCGGCAGTTATCCATATTTCTTACCTCTCGGTTGGTATCGTCACGCATTGAATGTTAGTCAGAAATATTCAGACGGAACTGTTTGGTTAGATCATAAAAACAGTGCTGGTGAATGGCCAGTTGCTTTCCATGGCACTCATTCGGGTGCAGTTGGGAATATTACACGACATGGCTTATCAACTGATGGAGTCAAACGTGATCTGATGTTAGAAGAAGCCGTGCAACAGAGAGGACTGGCCATGAACAAACCAGGACTATATTTGGCCACTCATTGTAACGGAGGATCGGACGCATATGCAACAACATTTCCAGTACAAAATGGTAATATCACTGAGATGTTTCAAATTGTATTTCAATGTCGAGTCAAGCCTGATTCATTTACAGTGCACACATGCTGCATCGTTGAAGGTCATGGATGGCGAGTGGTCGATCCTACAGCTGTTCGACCGTATGGTTTATTACTAAGAAAAATAGAAACATGAGTGGAGAAATGAGAATTTTGTTTGATTACTATGACCTCTCTTATTATCTAACTATGAAAATAAGATTTTATACAAACAATAAACATGTCAAAATTTATACGCGTTAAAAAATTTCATTCTCGTAAAATTTTTATCGCGCATTTCATATTCAATTAGCTCGATGAGTCTGAAGTTTCATTGTTGAATGTCAATGAAACAAACATGCACCTTTTACGAGTAAAAATGAGACCTATCATTCATCATCTGACCTTCGTAGAGTTATTCCCATTTAACAGAAATATCATGTGTTCTCAAACGATGATTTACTTGTAATTTGACATGCACGAGATTTTTAAAATACGATAGTCGTTGTGAAATAGATGAAAATAGAAATAGAACAACGTGACATAAACAGGTTCTTTTAACAACATAACGTACCTTTGACTTGATAATTCTCGTTTCTTTAATCGCAATCGATTACCTGGAATATATTGAAATTTGATTCTTCAAAAAAGAAAAACAGAGCAGAGAGAAGTTGTATGTCACTGTGACTGTGATACATCTTCCTTTTCATGCTGATCATTTACACCTATAAAACAATCCATCCTAACTATCGAATTCGTTCTACGCAATGCCGCATATAACTCCTATTTTAACCCAAGGTGATGGATATGGAATTATCGTGGGTTTCGGTGCCTTATTTGCTTTAGGAATGGTTGCAGCAACTTACATATTGAAACGTTATCATGGCGAAGCAACGGATTCCAGTGAAAGCTTTTCGACGGCTAATCGAACAGTTAAAACAGGTCTAATCGCCTCGGCTGTTGTTTCCTCATGGACATGGGCAGCCACGTTACTACAATCAAGTTCCATTGCTTATTCCTATGGCGTATCCGGTCCATTTTGGTATGCAAGTGGAGCGACGGTACAAATTGTTTTATTTTGTATTATTGCTATTGAATTAAAACGACGTGCTCCATTTGCACACACATTTCTAGAAGTTATTCATGCTCGATATGGCCAAATGGTTCATCTGGTATTTATTGTCTTCTGTATTTGCACGAATATTCTTGTTACAGCCATGTTATTAACAGGAGGTTCAGCTGTAGTTCAATCATTGAGTGGAATGCATATTGCTGCTGCATGTTTCCTTCTGCCACTAGGAACGATTGTTTATACAATGTTCGGCGGAATAAAAGCTACGTTTCTGACTGATTATGTTCATACAGTAGCTGTTCTCATTATTATTCTATTTTTCACATTTGTTACATTTACAACATCACCACTACTTGGTTCAGCATCTAAAGTATATGATTTACTTGTAAATGCTAGTCGGTCACATCCTATTGAAGGTAATACCGATGGATCCTATTTAACAATGCGTTCTTCTGAAGGTGCTATATTTTTTATCATCAATGTCATCGGAAACTTCGGTACTGTTTTTCTCGACAATGGATATTATAATAAGGCTATCGCAGCATCGCCAGTTTCGGCTCTGCCAGGTTATATACTTGGCGGATTATCTTGGTTCGCTGTGCCATTTCTCTGTGCGACAACGATGGGATTAGCTGCGGTGGCATTGGAGAGTAATCCAGCATTTCCAACATATCCACATCGTTTAGATCCCGATGATGTCTTAGCAGGTTTAACATTACCAGCTGCTGCTGTTGCTCTATTGGGTAAAAATGGTGGAATCGCAACATTGATTATGGTATTCATGGCTGTAACAAGTGCTATGTCAGCACAATTGATAGCTGTGAGTTCGATAATTACGTATGATATTTATAAGATTTATTTTAATCCAAAAGCAAGTGGCAAGAAGCTTATTTACATTTCCCATGTGTCCGTTGTCATATTTGGTCTAATTATGAGTGCAGTAGCTACTGGTTTATATTATATTAATATCGATTTAGGTTATTTATATTTATTTATGGGTGTTATTATCTCTAGTGCAGTCGTACCAGGTGCTTTGACTTTACTTTGGAATCGACAAAGTAAATGGGCTGCTTGTCTTTCTCCGGTATTCGGTGTGATTTGCTCTATAAGTGCATGGTTGGTTGTAACTAAAGTCAAGTTTGGAACGATCACAGTTCATACTACCGGTTCAAATATTTCTATGTTGGTGGGCAATATTGTGGCTCTGTGTAGTCCGGTATTGTTTGTGCCAATTCTTTCGTTTATTGCACCAGATAAAGAGGTTTATAATTTTAACTCAATGAAAGAAATTAAACGAGATGATGAAGGACCCAAAAATCTTGCGATTGTAAGTTTTGACGAACTAGAACGTGAAATGGTTCTACTAACGCGCAACTCAAAAGTTGCTCGAATTACCGCTGCCCTACTCACATTATGTCTCATTATTCTTTGGCCGTGGCCTATGTATGGAACAGGATATGTTTTTAGTAAACCTTTCTTCACCGGTTGGATCATCATTGGAATTATTTGGATGTTTATCTCATTTATTATTGTCGGCATTTATCCGATTATTGAAGGTCGTCATTCGATTGCATCAGTTAGCAAGAAAGTATACAATCACATTGTGTACAATCATCGATCAAGTGACAGTGGCAAAATACCAACTAATCTCGCCGATTCGAAAATGACTGTAGAAAATATGGGCATTAACAATCTTGAATTTTCTTTTTAGATATCGCTATTATATAGTCTTTTCTAAAATAAATATAGTTATGTAAGAACATATGCACTGTTGCTGTCACAGATTTCAAGTGGTACAGTTTCAAACGACAGGCATTAGATGTCGTTATTCTTATAAAGAGAAAGACATGTGACTGCGATTGGCTGTTTCGTAGTTTATAGAATAGAAAGAAAGAAAAACAATAATACATGTGTATTAATTGATATTTTGTTTCTAAAATCCACAGAAGACCATGATGGTACTGGAATCGTTACCGAATGAAATTCTTCTTACCATTTTCGATTATTTATCTGGCGTCGACATTTTGCAAGCGTTCTGTAATCTCAACTATCACTTTAACAACCTACTTCACAATCAATATCAAAGGTACTATTTCGACTTCAGATCAGTATCAAAGTATACTTTTACTACGATTTGTCAACAATGTCTACCTTCCATCACAAATGAAGTTATCAGTCTACATTTGAATAACGACGGGACTACTCCTGGTCAAATCGATCTCTTTTCATCGTACTTACCACCACTTACTCATTTCAAATATTTACGATCACTTTCATTGCATTCCATTCATTCATATCAATTGCTGATAAATATTATAGATCAATGTCACAATCTTCTTCATATTGATCATCTGAAATTTATTTCATGTGATATTAATAATTGTGACAATAATGGTCAATTGATTATCGATAACATTTGGAGTCTATCTAATCTGACTCATTGCGTATTGGGTATCTCGATCACAACTGAACCTATTGGCTTATGTCTCCCAAGAGTAATCTCCACGTCGATGCGGTACCTATCGATTCCTCATGATCATAACCGAATCAAGTTGAGTCAGCTGCGTGACTTCTTTGAGCATACACCACATCTCAGATATCTATCGATACGAATTGTACTTCATGATAGTGACAATTATCTACCGTTAACATATCCAAAACTTCATACGCTGGACGTCAATATAACTGATATCTCTACTGTTTTACGAGTACAATCGTTGTTGCTAATATTCCCAAATTTACGTCGGTTGATCATTTCTTTATCGCAGATGCCAATTGGCGGAGATCAATGGAAAAATATCATTACTAATCACTTGCCTAACCTAGAAGTGTTTCAACTTCAAATGAATCAGACATTTCTATCGAGTCAAGGTATCAATGAAAAGGCAGATGTATTATTTCAATCGTTTCAAAGTCCATTTTGGATGAATGAACGTCGATGGTTCGTCCGATGTTTGACATTTGATAAAATAATTCTATTGTATACTCCGTCCTTCCGAACATACACAAATGTTATATCAACATTACCCGATTCGTTCCGATCGACATGTCCGTGCGATGATCAACAGGTGTTCTATAAGGAAGTAAAGCAGATCTTCAACTACTCGTTATTTGATAAAATCCTTTCGCCTGATTGTCGTTTGTCTAACATTGAAAGGCTTAGTGTGAAAATGCCTATCAATGATCGATTCTGGTCCGTTGTGCCAAATTTAGAGCGACTGATATATCTGATCGTTGTCTGCTACGCTGATATTCATTATGATCAGTTACAGATGGTTTGCAATCGATCTCCTAATCTTCATTCACTGCGGATTCATCAAGATGATGTGTTGCCTGCTCAGATGTCATTGTTTCAATGCGAAAATCTATCGCTGAAAACGATTCATTTGAAGCCTCATTGGCGAAAGTTCAACAAGTATCTCAATCGAAACGAGTGTCTCCTAGTGTCTTCTTCGAAAATAGTTGCGCACTGTGAAGAAATGTCACTTTGTGTCATGAAACGTGAAAGTGTTGCTGATCTGATTTGCAGTATGTCTCATTTAAAGGCATTGACAATCGAATGCAAAGATGATGAGTATTTTGCCGGTACTTCAAAATCGACATCAAATGATAAACTTCTAATTTGGCTGAATGATCATTTACCATCAAGATGTATGATAACAAGGGATCTCAAAACTGAGTCAAGCATTCGGGTGTGGATAGGCTAGTGACTATGATTCGTTTTACGAATATTTGCATTAACTGGCTTTGAAGTTCAATTGTAAACGAGTGTCATGGCATTCCTCTTAGTGATAGTTTAAACAAAACGTGATTTCAGCTTTTTTTGGATTGAGAAAAGGTTGTATCAATCAACAGAAGAATGTATTCGATGATCCTTATTGATATTCGGATAAGTCGATGAAGAACGCGTTTTTCACGAAAGAAAACAGAACTCTTTTTGGGGTGAAAACTATTTAAGTTCTAGTTGGTTTTCTTCGAACAACTTTGGTATGCTGGGGAAGCTCGAGGTATTTATCAAACATTCCGTTGTATTTGAAAAATTCAATCAGAACTTCGATATTTTTTTGCCGAAAGGATAATACTTTCTTTCGTAAAGTGTTCTCCAGAGGAAGTCACGTGTTCCTACTGCAAATAAACAGTTGAAAGTAAGAGATTCACTCATAACTGAATATCCAGTTCATGTAATTGACGAATGACTAAGCGAGTTCTTTGCATGAATACTACTTGATTTTCTAAAATAAAGGACACAGAGTAAAAGATTTATTTCACCTTCTTACATCCATTAAAAATAATCTTTTTTTTATTCTTTTAAAATCGAAAATCCTTTTGCCGGTCTGATGGTATATTTATTATCTTGGCATCCACTCAAAAGGATAGTGTTTGATCAAGTCATATTTTTTTCACTCGACAATCTTGTTAACTCCTTATGAGATTTGGATAATATTGGTAAAATGGCTCATTTTTGCTGTGCACAATCCGTAGAAAAGGAGTTCAGTATATGTCAACAATATCATTCATCAACTTGGAAATACTTTCGTTTGTTAAATTCTGGCTTTTTGTAATCTTCCTTACTCCATTAGTCTTGTACCGTATCGTCAACCTCTATTATTTTCTCATTTTTTCCATCCAAATCTCATTTCAACGTCGGTCAAACTTTGGTTTTTCATTATCTTCCACTGATTATCTTCGGTATTTTCCCACTTATTTTCTATTTTGTCGTACTCTTCGTTATAACATGTGAGGATGGGTGTCTGAGCAACTCTGGTAATATTGATATTCTTCAAACGTTTTCGTTCTGAAAATAAATAATTCATATACATATAAGGACAAAATAATGTTTCCAGAAGATACGCGGCGGTGATCTGAGATCTGAAAAAGACTGTATGTCACAAACTTCAGATCGTTAATTCTTTGGACTTGTTGTGCCCCATACACTCAATTGTGTATGAAAAGTGAGGTAAGAATTATGATACTCGGCGTCTGGAATAAGTAAAGTATAAACTTGCCATTCTGTTGTAAGGATGACTATCAGTGGACAAGAAATCTTTTCTCGCTGATTAGCATAGGAGTATGTAAAGAGCAGACAGCTATTGATGTTTCTTTGCGATGGATCCATGCCTAAAATGAATTACTTAGATCAGTTATCTGATTGATTTGTGCTCGAACGCATTCTAAGAAATACGAACAAAATAAAGAAAATAGTTCTCATGTTTTTATAAAACTGGCAGGTGGTATTCATCCTTAGCTTACTCTTTATGACTTCTCAGTAAGATATGCTTTTAAATATAAATAGCGAACAAACATTACTAGAAAAACTGTTTGCTCGGCAACGAATGGAAAACAGCGTTTGTGAGTTATTTTACAATAACATGATTTTGCCGCTTATTGTCGTCTAAGATCGAGCCATCACATGGGCAATCGCACTTAGTGATGTATCGGAAATTTAGTGGGCGACCTAGTGGTGTCCCCAGAACAGCCACAAAACCTATCCACTGTACTCGACGACCTTTTTTGAATGATGTAACTACAGTCTTAAAGTCTCTTTTCTTTCTCGAAAAGAAGGTTGATTCCATCTATTAACATTTTCATCGGAAGAGCTTCTATGAACGAATTCGAAGTAATAGTTAAATCAAAAAGGATAAATGAAAGTCATCCTAAAAAATGCAAAACGAAAAAAAATGAGATGTCGTTGTCACAAGATGTAGAGGCATGTCTTGATGACTCATAAGCATTGCTAGAAAAACATTCATACAGTTGCACTGACTATTTTTTGTTTTGTTCTTACTCAACATAAAATATGACAACTTTCGAATCGTTACCAAATGAAATCGTGTTATCTATATTTTATTACCTTAATAGCTTCGATATATTTCGTGCATTCTATGCACTCAATTTTCGTTTCAACCAACTCCTTTACAATCAGCATGATGCTCAATGTATTATCTTCGATTCCGTGTCGAAACGTTCGTTCGATATGGTCTGTCAACGATACCTTCCATTCATGATTAATCGACTTGTTTCTCTACATCTCGATAATGAAGGAAGTACTCCTGGACAAATTAATCTTTTTCGATTATACATACCGTCATTTACTTCATTTACTCATCTACGATCACTTACATTTCGTTTTATTCATTCGTCTGAAATGCTAATGGGCATTGTCAACGAATGCCATCAACTTCCTCATCTTCTTCTTTTGAGATTCTACTGTTGTCGATTGAAAGACAATCAAACACATATGCAATGGATTGCTGATAATATATGGAGTTTACCAACGCTGACTCACTGTACTTTTGACATTCATATTGGCGGACAGCGCTCATTTTGTCTGCCGAAAGCCGTCTCATCATCTATAGAATATCTCTATATGTGCATTGAAAACCGTGTAGAAGCAAATCAAATCCGTCGGTTGATTAAACGAACACCTTGTCTCAGACATCTCTCGGCTTACGTCGATTTCACTCTAGATGACAATCTTGTGTTACCCCCATGTTCGACCATGACTGAATTAGACATGATTATTAGCGTATCTCCCACAATCGACCAAATGAACCGTTTCACACGAAGTTTCCCAAATTTACATCGGCTGAATGTCTATATGTGGTTCACCATCATCGATGGATATCAATGGGAAGAGATGGTTGGCAAGTATTTACCCAATCTTCAAGTACTTGGACTAAAGATGAGAAATATGTACGATGAGAACGATAACATGGAAGAAAAAGCTGATGAATTGATTAGTTCGTTTCAAAGTTCATTTTGGATTTATACACACCGCTGGTATGTTCGATGCATCATATTCAATCATACGATCTTTCTTCATACCTTACAAAATATATCTCTCAGTTGGAATGAGATCATTCCTGGTTCATTCAGATCGACTTATCCGGAAGACAACCTACAGAAACTCTATGATTCGATCACTGACATATACACAAAAACTATTATCATCTCCACGTCAGCGTCCGCCAATGTTTATTTGTATAACATCAAAAATCTCAATATAGGAGTGCCGATTTATGATCAATTTTGGTCTTTTGTTCCAAGTCTATGTCGATTGAAATCGCTAAGCATATCATCTTATTCAGATAGATATCAAAATGATCTACAAGTTCTATTTGATCGAGCTCCCAATCTATATTTTCTAAACGTTTATCAAGATAAACCATCGCTGTCATACATTTCGCTATTTAAATGTAAATCTCCGTCCATTCGTCATATTTGTCTTCGATACTATGTTCGCAAATGCAATTATTTTTTCACGAAAGATGATTGTCGCGTATTGTGTCACTCATCATTGGGAAATCAATGTGAAAAACTGACAATGTGTGTCAGGAATCGTGATGATGTTATATATTTAGCTGAAAACTTGAGGAGTATCTTCTTTCTTGAAATCGAATGCGGAGATGATAAGCATTCGCCAACGTCAACGTCGGAGAGAAACAACGATGCATTTGTTCGTTGGTTAAAAGAACGTTTATCTTCGAGAACTCTGATTACACGAGATCCGAGTCTTGGCCGAACTGTACGATTATGGATGTAACTCACTTATTTAATTTAAACGAACGTGATAAAGTAGATTTGATATTTTATAGTGCTATAAAATTGTGTTCAAAGGATCGTTTTTTAACAAGTCATACCGTAAAGACGAAAGTGTCATACTTTTAATATACTTGTTCTACTAATATTCAACGAATAAATAAGGGAATGAAAAAGTGAGCATGAGAAAGACTTCTACATTTGTTTATCGTGTAGAAGTCAATGCATAATAATTTTTTTCGAAAATTGTAACATTTCTATTGATAAAACAGTACTTGCCTTATCCCATGCATAACCCATTTTTGTCGTTGACTACGTGCGGTCTTGCTACATTATATCAGGAATATAATCAAAACTAGTATTGAATCGGATGAGAAAAACTCGTGAGTCATTATTTTATCAACTGGGTATTTTTGTCTTACGAGCTGAACTTGTGTTCTTTGCACTGAAAATAGGAATACAGCATTCGGTTCGGATTTATATAATGTAATAAAAATAAGCTCTAAATCTTTTTTGCTTATCCGACATGGTTGCAGAGGAGCAATTGTTATTCTAAAGTCATTAAAAACTGATGGTTGATATTACAGAAACTGATGATGTTCTTCATTCGTTTTCGACAAATACATAGACAATTTAGCAATATTCTATAAATTTCCAAAGAACAGTGAAAAATTTTATCTGTCTGCACTGTATTGTATTCTGTTGTATTTTAGTTGTTAATACCGGCAATACACGCCACGCATAGACATTGGCAAAGTAGGGCACATACATCTGTCGCACAAGAGGCTAAACACGCTGCACAGCACACGTTACAGCATATGTCTTCCTCTTCAATATCATTGTTTGCAGTCTTATTGGGAATAACTAACTGCGTGGTCTCGTTGTATGAATTACTGAAGGCATCTCCAGAAGTGGAACTTCGAGGTTGTGTCGTATAATAATAATTGGCATGCGTTTGGTTGGACGACATATATCTTTTTTCCGAATGTGCTGCTACGAGAATAGTGTGTGCTTATTGATATCCCTTCTTGACAATGTTGATAAGGTCATATCTACTATACTGGTCCTTATCGACATATTTTCTCAACAATATCAAAATCATGAGTACTGTTTCGAACTTTTGTTTTCTGTACGCTGTAAACATCTGAGTCGCAAATGCTGAAACAGTGAACTTGTCAATTGAACTTTACTTCGTCACTTCCTAGTATCAGTGAAAAGAGCACGACGTTCGGTGACCCTAATGAACAAGAGTCGAAAATAGTCACGACGGAGACAACGATTTTTATTTATTTTGTGTCAAGGTAAACTTTGTTCGTCATGTATATAGAGACATCAGCGGCCTCTTCCATCATATGGAAAACGTACTCTTCTTATATGTTGGTGGAAAGTGTAAAAGAATATATTCTTCAGAACGCATAACATCATTATTATTGGCGAAGAAACATAAAAAAATATATTTCCATGTGACAAAATTTGTGAAGAAAGAAGAAAAAAAAGGAAAATTTATGATCAACAAACACAGTAGAACATGATGAAACAGTTTTTTTTTCATGTCGCGAATAGTCAATGAATCGGCTATTGCCATTGAAGATCTCGTATGTCCCATAACACTAGAAGTTTTTCGTGATCCAGTCATTGCACAGGATGGTCATGCTTACGAACGAGAAGCAATCACGAAATGGATACTTGAACATGGTACGAGTCCATTAACTCGAGAACCATTAGAGATTGATCTTTTGCAAGCGGATGAACATCTCCGACAGCTCTGTCAACAACGGCGAAATTCCACAGTTTCTTATAATGCACGCAGTCGAACGATCACTTTACCACCGAGCCACAAGGAACCGAAAGTTCAAAGTGAAAACTCGAATATAATCAGAAAAATTCGTTCATCAAAATACTTCTGTGGAATTCTTCTTTTTATAATCTGTTTCTGTGTAATCTGTGTTTTGGTAACGATTGGGATTGTGTTTGGTGTAAAAAATGCTAGTAAAGGTAAAAAGAAATATCCTCTAAGTACAAACGAGTATGAGAGAGAACACCATCTTACTTGTATTTACGTCACATCCGACGGTTTCTTTTTATTTTTTAGGTTCTTCACCAATGCAAATCACATCTCAATTTTCCAGCTCATTAAAACCAAATGATTCACAATTTAGTCGACATCTCGGTACGAAAAACAAAGCTTATTATTATAAAGCGGTTTTACTAAATGCATCCTTTTCTGGTTCTTACCAAATGAAAAGTATTAGTAAAATAGACCTCTATGGATATTTATACTCGGGATATTTTATGTCTAAAATGCCAGCGGTTAATCTACTTAAATATGATGATGATAGTGGTGGAAATCAGCAATTTCTTCTTGATGCTTGGTTGACACCGAATAATTATACACTAGTGGTCACAACATATGGCGGAAACGTCACGGGACCGTTTTCGATTGCAATCACTGGTCCAGGAACTGTTGTTTTCTCCATAAGATAGCGAATATTTTCAAGGATTCTAGTTTTACTGTATGAAACCCTGTTAAACAATACTTGTGATCTTGTAAAGATTCTGTTCGTTTTTTTCCAATTTGGCATATGTATTAAAGATGATAAGATCATTCTATTGTGAGAATCAGCATATTCGCAATCTCAAATACAAGTTTTTTCTTTTCTTTTATTCATTCGTTCTCCTGTCGTAACTGCTTTGTATTCTATGATTTAGAAAAATGTAAACTTTAATAACAATTACAAAGATGAGCCATCATCATTCGCTGTTGTTATTTTAAAAAAGTCTCAGCGTAAAAAATAGATACTTGCGTATAGTATTCACAAGCGTATGTGCGTCACAAAGATATTTTTAAATTCCTCGAATATTTATGTTTAATTAAAGTTTTCCTCTTTGCCAATTATTGACGAAAATAATGCACATTCACCATGTAACCCACGCACCTATAAAAAAACTCGGGCAACTTATAAAATCAAGAAAAAATAGACGTCACGTGTCATTTTTGTCAATGAACAATCAACATACAGTATGTCTTGATTCATTGAAAGTGAGACGTAAAAAAGATAAAACGTTAAACTTCAATCCACCATTAGATATTCGAATCACAGATGATACAAATTTTAAGACGCATAATTTGTCACATGTGGTATCAGAAATTGAATTACAGACAGATTTATTCGCTGTGTGATTAATCGTATACAATCATAATATTTTATGAATGTTGATAGCAAAAAAGAGCGTATACTGTCCGTTTCCAAAAAATGATGCGCATGAGTATTTTTGAATAATTTTCGATAGGAACAAGGTAGAAAGCTGCGGTTTTCACCACTAGAAAGCAACTGAGTTAACTCATCGATTCATTTCTCGAATCAATAGTGAGTCATAGTCACCTTAGGAGAGATGATGGTTATTAAATGAAGATAGGGCAAATCCTAAACTTTAAGGGATAGGTAGATGGCATCAGTTTAGGGCTTACAAAGCTACATGTAGAGCTTGACTCAAAATTTTACTTTTTCGAAAATTCTGAGTATTATATTCAATAATTCCAGCGCAATTCACCAGCAAGTTTGGTGAAAAAACTCATTTTTTTCCTAAGTAAGTCAGACCAGTTCTTACGACATTTTGTTTTTCAAGTATTGTACAAGAGTTCAAAAATCCAACTTAAAGATATTGTCATGTATGATTTGATGCGATTTTATCTGCTCGTGTCAATGGTGAAAGTCGCAGCTCTTTCTATCATGCGTTTATCAAAAATTATTCAAAAGATACCCGCGCCCATTGGCTTTCAAACCGGACAGTACTTCCTCCATTACCTATGTCTATGGGCACATTATCGGTCATTGTATTAACGAAATCGGCAGTGGATGTTTCCCTTCTGATTTCCGAAACAATGAAGTGTATCATATGATATCACTGATTGAATGTGTTACTTGCGTGGCACGACACTATACGGCGCATGGGCACTATCACGTGTACAGCCCCTTAGACAATTCACAATTATTTCTATGTGCAAAAATGTATTTTGAAAATGCAGTTATAAATAAGTAAAAACAGCTATGGTTGAATGATATTTATTTAATAAATTAATTAATGAGAACAAAAAAGAGAATCCAAAGATAGCAGTTACTGAATAACATATTCAAAAGTTAAACATAGATCTGAGCATTTTAAAGTAACCATCACGTGAAACATTGTGAAATTCTTTTACTATGTTTTTTATTCGCTCATCGGCTTTGTCGTACTTTTTTCGTTTATTTGAAGTCTGTGTACCAGTAAGAACTTGATTCCAAGTTACAGTTGAATTGTGCTCTTCTCTTTTGATATTGTTGATGAATTTGTAGCAACTTGGATGATCACCAACAACATTCTACGTAAGCAACAAATAATAGGAAAGTGGATAAAATTGGAATTATACATACATGAAAAGCATTATGCCATCCTTCGAGTGCATTATTAGTACGTGGCAAATCTAGATGCACTCTTGAAAAACAGTTCCACATGGATATACTAATCCGAGGAGATTTTCGTCGGTTTCTGGACATTACACGGACTAAATGAAATTGTCCTCGAAATATAGGAATAGCTCCACAAAGTAAACATTTTCGATTAGATGTTTAAATAGTTATGTAAAATTTATTTACCGTCCAATACTTCTGAAGAATTTTCTATTAAACGAACGAATTCGTCAACAACATTTTGTGGTGGGACGAACGCAAGAGCAGCTAAATGTTTCACACTGAGGATAGATAGCACCAAATGCGTTCTCAGCTGCTTTTTCAAAACCGATTGAAAGGTATTTTGGTTTACGTGTAACATGTTGTTTAACAATTTTGAATAATTCTTCATAAGCTTTTCATCCTTGCTAGGTAAGAGTGAGTAAACTAATGGTAAAGTTGTTCTACGTATTGAGCTATGTATAGAGTGCATTTGTTCAAACATTTTAGGAGTAACCAATAAAATGAAAGATTTTGTTTCAATTTTTAGATATATTTCATTCACTCACAACAAATGTACCATCACAATGCCAATTTTCACATTGATTTTAAAAATTCAATTGTTCTTTACTACCAAATATTAATAATCGACCATTAACATTATTGTTTTCATATAAAAGAAACTTTTGATTCGTAATACTAATATTTTGAAAATTTAATGGAGTAGTAATATCGGCGAATGTTTTAGGTTCGGATGGAATATTATCATCTCTTCGCATACGTTGAATAGCACTTTGTGATGTATTGTATTGAGAACTAGTAATAGCAGCATCTGAAGATAATTTAAGTCGAGCTTCGTGTATTATTAACCTTGGTGAATCATGACATTCTGCAGTTTTCTTCCTAATTTCATAATTAAATAAAGCTTTTTCGATTTCGTCCCGGTTCGGCGCTTGGCATATATGATCTTGGTACATTTTAAATGTATTTCCATCAGAACGAATATGACCTTTACATTGGTCCTTTACACAACGCTACGTTGCCTTATCTTGGCGATAACGAAGATCATCAAGAAGAAGTTGATTGTTTCCTTTACTTGGCTTGATGAGAGACATTTTTATTTATGACATATACTTATCTTGTACATACCCAGGTCAACAAATCCGATCGGATTCCTGGAAACGGAATTGCATTGGAATCCGACTAGAAAAATCCCGTCGGTTGTTGCAAATTTTATGAGCGATCTTTTTAACTATGTTCTATGATGGCCCTTAGAAAATCCAGGAAATCCGTGTTTCCGATCCGAGACCGTCGGAATCCAATGCGATTCCGTCACTACGATTTCATCGGATCTGATAAAATCCTATATTGGATTCGAGTATGGGATTCTTTGGCTTGGGTATATGTCGTACGCGGTAGTGTCGGCGTGGTGATGTCACGCGTGGGGAACGTCGTGGAACCGTTACTTGAATAACAAAGGAAATTAATATTCCTAATAAGTTTTCATATAGCGAGGAAAGACATGAGAAATTTATTTTGTGTTAAGTCATGAATACCATTGCTGAACAAGTCCCGAGAAAGATACAGAAACATTTTTCAACTAACTGTTTATTAATAACAGTGTTTTCTCTAAATATATCAAAACAAAAGCGCTATAGAGTTGCTCTCAAACAAGAAGTAGTTTCACTGGGAGACCACTTAAAGCTCAGTTATCTTGTACTCGACAGAAATAAATATCAGAGTGCACACGGTCGTATTCATGAAAATATTCTGCTACTAGCGAACAAAGATTGAAAGGACAATTCTATTTTACTAACTGGCTTACTATTGATTATTTTATTTCAAATACTACAGCAATGGTGTCTTTGAAAAATAAGAGAATCATCTCGTATTCAATTATTCTATTAATTTTGCTTTTAATCTTCTGTATTGCTATACCAGTTATTATACTTTATGATCCTTTGCGAAAGACAACGTCAGGTAGGTTCACGAAGAGAAGAACTTGTTTTTTACCTACAACTTTCATATAACGCCACTTGTCTACAACTTTGAAGTATTTTTTGTCTTCAAATGACTCGTGTTAACAAAAGATGACAACGCTTTCGAACTAAGAATAGTAGGAAGTACTTTATACAAGCAAAGCTCTTTAGTACAAAATAATCCAGTGTGTATTGAAAACCTTCACTCTACTTTTATTAAATATCATCGAGTCTTTGATGATTCCTGTTACCAGTACGACAACTACTACCAGCACCAGCACCTCCATTAGTACAAGTACCAGTACCAGTACCAGTATCAGCACTAGCAGCAGCAGCACCACCACCACCAGTACCAGTACGAGCAGTAAGTAATCACCGTGTTCGCGCTTATGACAGAGTACACATGAGTATTTTGCAATTTAGCAACTAGTATATCATGTCCGCCTGGATATGTGGTGTCAGGATTGGGTACTTGTGTTAATTTTCAAATAGATTATAACAATTGTGGATCACTAGGTAATGTATGTCCAAGCAATTATGCTAGTTGTTCAGCAGGAGTATGTAGTAATGCACCTGCTGTACAACTTTTGCACGCAATTGCTATTCCAGGATGGGATGGTAGTAGTTCAGTTGATGATGCTGTTGTGTCCTTGGCTTTACCATCGAATCTGTCGCTGACATTATATGGATATTCGTCATCAACAATATCTATCTCGAGTAATGGTGTAAGTAATACCTAGTCACCATCGAATTTGAATGCTCTTATCGAAAAGGAATCGAATCAGATGACATCAAAATAGTTCGAGTTTGTTTGTCTCTCTCTTTCTCTGTTAAGTACAAATAGATTGAGTAGCTGTGGCCTTTATTTACAATAAATATTATTTGTAAAAGATTGAACTTCATGCTAGGTCATATGTCTTGTCAGTTGTACGAGTGTATATACTAACGCAGCCTTACCAACGACTGCTTTTACGGGCCCAACGGCTCTCGCTCTATGGGACGACTTAATGATATACAGTGGCACGTCTCAAGGTGTCTATTATCAAATTGAGGGTGGTACACCAAATCGAACAATAGCTTTTGAATTTTACACAAGCAAATTCAATGCTTCACAAAATTATTATCACTTTCAAGTAAAATTTTACGAGAACCAACCTGGTATTGTTGAATATATCTACTATGGAGTGAGTGATAAAGGCGGAAGCGCAACGATCGGCACTCAAAGTGGGTCGTTTTTTACGAAAAAAAAGAATATTGCTATTTTCGAAGTTTAGAATCAGCCAGTGGCCCTGGTATTGAATATTCTATGAATAAACCAAACGCTGTGTGGTCAAACATGACTCTGACATTTAATACTAATACAAACACGTTTTGGATAAAGAATGGTACAATAGTATAACCGATAAACAGAATTTACTGAAAAATTGACTATGAATTTCTCTCTGCTCATGCATAAACAAAATATGTAAACTGCTTTTATTTTCACTGTTTCTTCATTAGACGTTTGATCTTTATATTTCTCAACTGATGTTGGCAATCAAATCTAATCGATTCTAAATCAAAATCCATAAAATCTGTTGAAAGACGTTACAAGATTCTGCATCAATTATTATCTGCTGTAGTAAACAGAAAGCATTTTGTACACAATCATTTTATTATTTTTTTATGAATAAAACAGCAGTCCAGATCATTATGGGATCTGCTGAAAAATATCAAAAGTCCATTTCAAATTTGTTTCATTCACTCGTATAAATTTCGATTCATACTGAGAAGCGCTCAATTGATAGCGACCTGTATCACCAATGAGTACTGTCCATCGTTTTCCATATGTCGATTCTAACCATTCTTTGATATCATTAGCAATTTTATAACGTTCATTCGGACCACGTGAATCAATAGCTGATCCAATAGCTGCCAAGATATTCGTTTTCATTATACTAGTAATTCCAATCTTCTTATCGACTACTTCCCATCGAACCATTCTAATCGTTTTTACATATAAATACTGTAAACACGAATGTGCGAATGAAAAAATATGTAACTACTCTTGCTTCTTTTTACGTTCGTAAATGTGTGTGAGTGATGACATAGACGAGGAAAATTTTATTTTTGAAGCAAAACAAAATGATTGTAGGTGACACTGTCGTCATACTTTATTTCGAAATTATTGAAAAAAAACGCACATGGAAAGTAAATTTCATTCGCGATTATGAATCACATAACAACCGAGTTAGACGGAAAGAAAGAAACCCACATGTGACGTGCTAATCGCCGATTGTACACAAAACATTTATGGATTTACTCTGAAAATATCGACATGAATAGTAAAGACACAACGTCAATAAAAACCACTCTGTTGAGCAGAATTTCTGACTTCTCTGTTAGCTTTTGCAAATGTATTTCCTTGTGATTACATTACAAAATATAATGACAGTTGTTCAAAATTACACCTGAACGCTATCGTGAAGTCAGTAACATAAACTTTTGTACTAATATTTATACACCTATGCTTTACATCTCGTTTGGGTAGTTTTCATCAATGATAAAAGAAACAAAAAATTGCTATTCTTCACTCGCTCATACAACAATGGCGACAGTCTCTCAGCTGTTATTCTTTTGTATCATCGGACTTTTTTCTTTCACTGTTTTACTTGTTTCATCTACTGTATTCCAATCATATTTGTTAGACAACCTCATTATCGAGTGCATTTCGTCGCATTTAACATCTGTTTGATCATTCTATGTTTCGGTAGCATACATATCGTTTATCTGACCGTTTTATTTTATTTTACTAACATTCTTTAGAGCACGTCCACATGCAAACTAATGATATATCTACGAGTTATGATCAACTTTCAATTAGCAGTGGCAATAATTATGATATCGATCTATCGTTTTTCATTCATTGTATATCATACTCAAGTGTTCTTTAGAACAAAAAAAAAGGTTTGTAATTTGTCTGTACAGTCAATGGTTGATCGGCTTTCTTTAACCGTTAGTTTCACTTTTTACTCAAAGCAATTCAGTAAGAAAATCAACTTGAAGAACATTCTTTTTAGAAATGTACACATTCACAATGGATTTCCATACTTGTGGTCTGTCCATTGACATCTTTGACTGTCAATGTACGTCTTTTTCTCTTTAGTCATTCTGCATCGCGTCGATTACGTTCTCACAATAGTAAAAACCGTATCGCACCAATTTCAGCTATTACTTCGGATCAGTCGGCGAGATACTTACATACTGAAACATACGATTTACAATGTTTCTAATGCTTGTCTTCGCCTGGGGACCAATTTATACATTATTCCTTGTTATACATAATACGACTGTTTCGACGCAATTCTATTTGGATTCTTTTGTGTCTGGGGACAAATTAGTCTCGTCTGTCTTGTGATAAATGTGTTTATATTCAGCACTCAGTTATACAAAAATATCGAATGAAAAAGATCTTTCATCCTTAGCATGAGCAAAAAAAGCTTTATTTACAAAGGAAAAAGACAAGAATAGCTATGAATACATGTAAAGCGTGTTTTTTTTGCAATAAAGTTTACTTTTTATCATCAGACACGATTTTATTAATGAAAGAATCCAATGCTCGTTTCGGGCAACAACAATACTTCTTTATCGAAAGCCAGCATGTCATACCATCTCCTTTGTTGCTTTCAGCAGTTGAAAAACAACCATCTGGACATGTATTACCAATAAAACAAAATGGAGCAATACCATACCATTTACACAAAGCCATCGACGGTGTCGGAGTGACAATCAAAATAAGAATTAAAACACAACTTATACGAAACAACGTTGACGAAGCCATTTCAATCCGAATTATCCGGTTAGTGATATAGAATAAGAAGATAGAAGAATGGCGTGTCTTTTCTCTTTCGCCCTTGACTTATAGGCATACATGACCTACCGTTAACAATGTACTATGCAAAGAAACAAGATAATGTTTACATTAACGCCGGATAAGCACATTAGACAAAGAGAGAGAAAGAAGAAAAGAGGAAAAATAGAGGACATATGTGTGTGTCAAAGACTTACGTATTACATAGGATATGATGATAGAGATATCGATGAAAAGTTCGTCCGGCGCCCTTCTAACAATATTGTTTATCCATTTCAACACTTATCTCGACTGTTATATCTGGCATGAGTTTGATATGTTCACCAGAACACGTGCGTCGAACGTGCTGTTAGGTTATTATTGATCGTTTTAGAAATCAGATCTTTGAGAAAAGAAAACAGATCGGGTATTGACATAGTTGATAATTAGCTGCGCGCTTGGTGATTGATTCGAAGCGTTTTTTATATTTATAGAAATTGTGGCTCTTTCAACACAACAAAAGAAAAGCTTTTTATAAATTGTTCTTAAAAAAAGAATACAACATGCCAGTTAAGGACATCAATGCAATTCGAAAATAATTGATCATACCTGGATAGCGAAACTTTTCACTTGTAAACTTCGTTTGCTTCTTGTCAAAAACAAAAATGTACGCGATACTTGATTCTTTTCGAAAAAAGATTCGCTCAAAGACAAATATCGATGACCTGATTCGTTTTCTTAACGAGATGGAATACCTGAGTACACAATCAGTTTTCTTACTATTTTTTACCATGCGTAAGAGCCTAGTCATACATATCACCTTTGGAAATAAATAATTGTAAGAATGCATCGCCGTGTAGATGAAAAATATGGAGAAGAATAAGAAAAAAAAAATAGCAGTATTTTTTTCCTCACATGCTATTTATTTATAATACTTTGCCTCAGTTACGTTTTTCTTCTCATTGACACCATATAGGATGTATTCAGATGGAGACGAGAAGAATGAATCGATAGCAAAGAAAAGCACCAAGTCGTCTGTCCCACCCAGAAAAAGCTTAGGTCTTTGGAAAACCTGCTGCGCTGGGATAATTATGGGCTTTGTCGCTTACAATGGATCATTCTCTATTGTTCCAATTGTCTACACATCCTGTTCATTGATATTCGGCAGTAAATCATGGTTTACTATATTAGCGACAGCTTGTGGACAATTAACTGCTGGTTATCTTCATACACATTCATCGAGAACTGGTATGGCGCTTAGTATACAACTTTTCCATGGATTTTACATTTCCAAGTCGGAAATGCGTAATCGACGGAAATACAATGAAACGCGATGTCAAAGTCTTCATCGATTTTTCATTACTCATCCGGTAAATGCGTTTATCCTGAGTAGCATGTGGCAAACATTCACAATATTTTATATTTTACAAACAGAACTATATCTTGCCTATCTTGACAGCGTTACTACATCCAAAGTCGGTGTTGGAAACGCTGTTTGTAGTTCTGAAGAACGTATTCTCATTATTCAAGGCCTGACACGCTATGTAGCGGGTTGTTTATCTGGCATGAGCACAGGGATGATCAATCATCTTTGGCAACGCTATCTCGCACATCGACCAGAACAGTATGCCGAAAGTATTGGTACAAAACAACCAAGATTAAAACTACGATGGGCTGACCGAAGAAAATTATTAAGTCCATGCAATATGGAAAACTGGATTAAAGCCTCTGCTATGTTATCTGGAGCATTGTTCATCGTTGTAAGTAATATACCCAATTCAACCGGTTTACACTTGTTAACTCTACGGCGAAAGAGAATCATAACTGATATTTTAGTTATTAATGGTAGTTGGTTTTATTTACGTGATACTGCAATGCTTTTGTTGAAAAAGGCAGAAAAACCTCCTCGCATTCCATTGAATCTAGTTGCTTCGACGCTTCCGGCTACGAACAGTAAACTGTTAGAAAACGGCCAGTCAGAGTGTTAATACGCAGGATTTGAATTTGACTGGTATAGATAGATTTGTATTTTTCTCTCGTCTATTTTCGTTTTTCAGTGATTTGTTTTGTAAAACTTAACAATCGTCTACATGAAGAGATTTATTCATTCGTGCCATAAGAATACGTTTAAATTGGATTCGACCTTTCTCTTTCTTTCTGTAGATAGAATAAAATATTTGATATAAGATCTATTATCGAAAGTCAGATCGAATAAACAACATCATACCATGGAAAACTTGTTTTTGCTTTGCACTCGACAGACTCATCGATTATCTTTGTCAATAATAATTATCTACGACGAAAATGGCTATTGACGTCAAATGAGTCGTCTATTTCGTAAAGAAAAAAAGTTGTCACGCCGCATCACATACAAAATACGCTTGATAAATTGAAAGAAAAAGATTATATCAATAATGACTTTTGCCTAGTTCTGATTACGATTTAATGAGATCAATCATATTTTTTGTGTTTTTTGGCACATATTTTGTGATGAGATGCTCATGTGATTTGTATATTTTTTGCAATTAACTTTGTGTCAGGTACACCATTTATTCTCTTATTTAGCGCTGTGTAATGGGGACCCCCTACCTGTCTGAAATCTACACGTGACAAATTACGTTTTTCTTAATGGTAAATCAACCGATTCAGTTAAGTTTTCTTCGTTAGGTACTGGAAAAAATAGACAGGAAATACAATTTTAGCATCTCAATCTATACTAAGCAAGTAAGACAGGTGGTGGAAATGACGAATTAAATGCAGATGATGGTAAATCTATAAGAGAGCTTAGATTCATTTGACATGGACTTGTTGAATCGTATCGATAGTATTGATCGATCCTGGATTGGATATTAATCACCGTATTGTTACTCGCTGTAATATTTCGACTGTTACATATTGATATCAGTGGAGCTGAACTATTCGTGGAAATATAATTTCCAGTAATATAAACATTATTTCCATTGTTGGATTGCATGAGAGCTCGACTGAAATTTCCAAAATAGAATGTCGATGATTCTATACGAATGTCATTAATAACGGGTATTAATTGTGTTGGATCGGGTAAAATCGTGATGAAACCTTGTTGTTGTCCAATACCTTCATTACAGTGAATGTAAAGATTTTCAGCAAGCGTTACATTTCGACCCGGAAGGCCTTCATGCCAATATAGAGATGGTTGAAAAAGAATTGCCGGCCCACTTGTTTTATTAAATACCGATTGTCTAATATCAATATTTCGTGTTTCTAAAAGAACACCACGAGCTCGATTGTGTTCAACGGTAAAATTTCGTATGGTTAACGAAGCAACATCTGCAACGCAAACAAGATCACCTGCACTTACATTGATTGAACTATTGAAAGTGAACAGCCTAGAAGTGGACGTATAGAATGTGGACGAAACGATAGTTCCTCTTTGATACTCTGTAAACGGTTGTTTATTAGGACTAAATTCTAACTGTGTACCATCTTCGATAAACAGTGGATCAGTCCAATTGAATGCCTGCAGAACCAAGGCAGTCGAGTTGATAACATTCGCAACGGATACATACGGCGTTAAAACATTCAGTCCATCATCACCTTGCATTTGACATTTACTGTCTTTCAATGAAATGAACTCTCGAGTACTGATAAAATGCATACAATCGGAATTCGCACTTAACCATCGACCGTTCTTCGGTGCGACGTGATAATCAGAAATCGTTAAACGACGAACTCGATTAGTTACTAAGACCATACCCCAAGCTGAATGAACATTAATTGATTGAATTGTAATATCAAATGAATTTTGTATGTAAATAGCATGAACAGATATATCATAGACAGCAACAAGCGCATCTCCTCGATGAAAATCTGTTTCCGATGCTATTGGTATACGTAGAATATCGGTAGAAACTAGGCTAGTATTCGCAGAAGTCGGTGGTACTTGATAGACATTGTATGTGCGAGAACCAAAAGCAGGCCGCATTTCTATTGGATCATATCGAATAAGACCGAGCACTCGTCGATTGACATCGGCGCGATGTGGTGCTTGTATTTGAACATCGAGATAAGTATTAGTTGCGTTAACAACATAGCCTGCAGTAAATGGATATGGGTCAAAATCAATGGATAGTGAAGTGAGTGTTAATCCTTGACAATATTGAGCAAAGAATATAAATATTCGACTAGTACCTAACAGTAACGTTTGTCCAATACCCTGTCCTAATATTGTCAAATCTGTTGCATTCGATATTTGAATGGTTGATGATAAATTGTATGTACCAGATTCGAAGACAAGTATGCCGCCTGGTCCGTAATTAATAGCACTGTCAACAGCAAATTGAATGTATTTGGTGTCATCGATGTTATCATTCGGATAGGCACCGAAATCAGTCACAGAAACGATCTTCCCTTGAAGTCTGATACATTGAGTAAATACAATTAACAGTAAGACACATTTCGAAA